GGGTTCAATCCAACAGGGATCATAAGGCACTCTCTATGTGTGGAGATATAATGTCTATGATGAAGACTGATTCAAATTAAAAAAAAATCATTGGTCTCATCATCGACCTCGAGGGTCTTGCCATCTGTTGGTACTAAGCAATGAATCCCATCCTTTATCTACAATTAAGAATCATACAAAACATCAACTATACATGCAAAACCATACAGAAAAGATTAAATTTTTTACGGTCATTCGTGTTCAGCTCAACACATGACCTCTATCAAATACAAGGACATTATCAATTCTCACAAGAACAAGGACATTCTTCATGCTGTTCTCTGAGTTGTAATTGACATGTTGCAGGACATTCATTGGAGACGTGCTGCAGAGAAGGATTCGATCAACTGATATGTTGTATGGCACATTCAAATCATGATCCACTGGGGAAACAACAGGGGGCTGCTGGAAATGATTACTGTTTAGATGATCATTTCCTTCATTCTCATTGCCTGGAAAGCCTGTGGCTGTATTTCAGTGCTCATGTCATTTATATTGACAGGGTATCTTGCTCCAGTGAAATGTTGCATTGGGCTGTGACATAATCAATCAATTGTTGGTCATCAGAGATCTGTGAATTTGACAGTTACCCAAAAAAAAAACTATTTGTGAGAGATGTGACCAAAATAAAATTTCAAATCTAACATAAGAAATTAAAGCAAGGTTTGAGTGAAGCATCATAAAACATCATACATCTTTGGAGACAAACAGCTCAATCAACCCTCTGCACTTGGAACCAAAACTCTGGTCCCATCTCTTTCCTGCAAAATGTAAGAAGAAACATATAGTTACATTTAATTATATGTTCAGAAAATGACTTTCTTTTGGAACTAGCTAGGAAAAATGGGAACTTGAGCTCACTGCCATGGCACTTGAATCTCTGTTAGAAGATGAGTTCAACAAATGGGCTGGTTTAATATTAATGGATGTGCATAAATCCTGCTCATGAAAACCCATGGTTAATGACATAAAAACACAAATTAATTTCTTTTGTCAAGATATGTTTGGTAGTTGGTAATTATGATTGAATGAGTAAACAAAAACGCGAAAATGAAAAGGATATATAGGTACCCAGAGTCTAAGGACAGAGAAGAAGGAAGCTGGGCAAGAAGATCACAGGAATTTGTTCTTGAGCGCTGCATTGTATCTCTGCATGGAAGGACTGGATAAACTGGAAAAATAAGTTCATTTCCTCCATTAGTCTGAGTGTTCTCATCAGCCCCAGAAAAACAACAATCCATCAACTCAATAAACCTAAAAAATAATAAAATAAAATAAAAATTAGTCACAAAAAGAAACATGAATTAGTAACTGTTAATTAAAAGGTTCCTCTTAACCTTTGGTCTTCACTCAATTTCCAAATAACACAATAATCCTAGCCTTTCAAACCCACAAGCCTCTCAGTCAGATTTTGCATAATGATGGCATATCTACAGAGATTTATTCAATAATGGATATTTCTTTAAAGAACAATCTATCGAATATTTCTTTAAAGAACAATCTATCGAATCTCATAATACGCAGAGATAATAATATTCCAAAAGCCACAAGAGACCTCAAATTCTGAAATTCTTGTTACAATAATTCCTCAAAAGCTCCTTCACCCAGCCAGTCATGGCCAAAACCAAAAGTTCCAGCCATCTGTATAAACAGAAACCAAAAGGCATAAAAGTAAGACAATTTGTAACAGTTATAAGTGAAAACAATAACCGATTACGGCTAGCCAACGTGCTAATCTAATGATTCCAGAGTAAAAAGTAGAATCCAACCACTTAATTAAACTACCCACATGCAAAACAAGAAGAAAAACAGATTCGGATCAAACACTTTCCTCAAATTACACCAACCAGTAGTGACACAAAAAAACAACAGATTATAATGCAATTGCAAGCCCATTCCCAGATCTTTAATATTGACTGATATGAAATCCACAATAACCGAGTCAAAATGGTACTCCTTAACGATATGGCATGAAAATTAGCAAATTCACAATCAGACCCTAAACCCAATCAGACCATTCAAACCAACAGGAAGAGAAACTAAAAAGAAAATAATTCCAATTATGGTAGCAAAACTCACAAGAAAGGAAATAATCCCCAAGTCAGCAAATTTTGTATTTAGGCTTTGCATGACTTGTGCTTGCTTCGGCTTCCAAATCTCAATCTCAAGCTCAAATTTGCAGGTAAACTTTTTCAATTTCGGGTTTCAGACTTCCAGTCAGTCGCAATGTTCAAAAAATGGGGCTAGGCGGGCGCTAGGCGGCTAGGCGGCTAGGCGGCTGGGCAGGCCTCCTAGGCGGGTTGGGTCATTTTTCGGTGCCGAACAAGGAGGACGAAGCAGCCGAAACTTGACTGCGTCTGCAAGCTCCGTCCTATGCGAGTGCAGCTTCGTGTTTGTTTGAAATGTATTCAAAGCGTATAGCCGTGCGGCTATACCATTAAAGTATTTTTAAGAGTATAGCCGAACGGCTATACTTTTAAATATCCAAATGTATTCGGAAAGTAAAGCCGCGCTGGGCTAGAGTTATTACTTCAATTTATACATGTGATGTTAGGAAATGAGAATTTAAATTCTTTCTGATACCTCCCATTCTAATGATTTCCCGCTATTAGCCCATTGGGCAAGAATAAAAAAATGAATTTTATTTATAACAAATAATATAGGTTAAACCCATAAATACAACAACTAGTTCTTCATTGAAATTTATTAAAGGTATCAGAGGTCATATGACATTGATATATGAACTATTCAAAATAAGAATTCAAACAACATGTTTTAGATGAGAAGTAGCATCTCATTCTTAAATATAACATATTACTTCATTTGTCTACTGGTTGTGCCTGTTGTTAAGCTGGTGCAACCAACATTTTTTCACCAAGAAACTTTTCTTGAACCTTAAAGAAATTTAGCTAGGAAAACCTTTGGTGGTTAGGGAAAGTTAAGATAGAAACATAGGCAAAGGCAAGGCTGAAGAACAATTGCGAGCACATGTGATATTACAAAAAATGTAGCGAAGGAATTTAGAATGGCCATTTTCCAAATTAAGCACACATCTTATAATGAAATCAAGATAGGAACTTATAATGAAATCAAGCACACATCTTATAACAAATAGTTCTTCATTGCTCTTCAGGGATCATAAGGCACTCTCTATGTGTGGAGATATAATGTCTATGATGAAGACTATGATGAAGGAAAATGCTAGATCATTATTTATTATCATATAAATAAGGTACAACAAGCACCATATATGTATCTCTTCAATATGATTGATATATTTGCCAATGATCCTCGTACAACAACTTGAAGAAATATTATTACATACATTCTATACTACTATTAGCTACTATATTTTCACATCAGAAAAATACTAAAATAAAAATTGAAAAAATCACTGCTCTTATCATCGACCTCGAGGGTCTTGCCATCTGTTGGTACTAATCAATGAATCCCATCCTTTATTTACAATTAAGAATCATACAAGACATCAACTATACATTCAAAACCATATATAAAAGATGAAATTTTTTACGATCATTCGTGTTCAGCTCAACACACGACCTCTATCAAATACAAGGGCATTATCAATTCTCACAAAAACAAGGAGATTCTTCATGCTGTTCTCTGACTTGTAAGTGACATGTTGCAGGACATTCATTGGCACATTCGAAGTGCGGCAGAGAAGGATTCGATCAACTGATATGTCGTATGTCACATTCGAATCATGATCCACCTGGGAAACAACAGGCGACTGCTGGAAATGATTACTGTTTAGATGATCATTTCCTTCATTCTCATTGCCTTGAAAGGGCTGTGGTTGTATTTCAGTGCTTGTAGGAACCGAATTAAATCAGACCCTAGGTCAAATAAGTCCTTCCATTTGGGGATTATTTGACCTAATTGGGAATTACTCAACCTAATTGGGAATTACTCAACCTAATTGGGAGTTACTCAATTTAATTGGGAGTTACCCAATTATATTGAAAGTTACCTAATTAAATAGAGAATTGATTTGATTCATACCACAATTCCCAATTGAATGAGGAGTTACCTAATCAAATTAGGAGTTGAGGTACGTTCGAAATCTCTTCTGAAACTCTGCAAAAAATTCCTCTCACAAACCCTATCCACCTTCTCTCTCTCTCTCTCTCTCTCTCTCTCTCTCTCTCTCTCTCTTTCTCTCTCTCTCTCTCTCTTACATAAGGCTCCGGTCGCCGGTATACACCATAAACACATCTTCGTACTCTAGTTAGCTAGTGTTTCTCTTACAAACTCCTGAACTAATTTAGGCATCGGAGGGCTTTTGGCCAACACCCCCTGGGTGTGGCCCTCTTATTGATTCTATTTTGCAGGGAGAAGAGACAGCGGAGAAGGAAGGGGAATCTTTCCAATAGAATATTCTCGTGGGGAAATTTGCTCCCACAAATTGGTGCTTTCATTGAGAACACGAGTTATACTCAACACGTGCTCAAGGAATCCGTTCCTCCTATTTTCCAATCCACCGAAACCTTCCAAACAACCATGGTTGGAAGCAAGAAGATGAGAGGCAAAATTGCTGTGATGGCTAAATCCGCGACGGCCTAAAGCCACTCCACCCACGATTTAGCGATCGACATGGTGGCACCACCACCGTGCCACCTATCGGACTCGCAGCTGAGACCACTGCACCAGCCACCACCGCCGAACATGGTGGAACCTCCCATCAAGGTGGGCTCATTACCACCGTCGACTTAGGCCCGATCTTGGAGCAACTCCAAGCGTTCCCTTCATTGCCTCCACGCTCAACGCACGCTCCCGCGTCCACCTCTAATGAAACCCTAGCCCGTGTGCAATTAGGCTCCACGCACTTCTCTCCTCCCGATCCACGAAGTTAAGCAGACCTTAATCTGAGAGTTGACCAGCTAGCTTAGAGAATGGACGACCAAAGCAATCTGATGAGGTAGCTCCTCAACCAAATAAGCATGGCTCAAAACCTTGGCCTTGGACAACAGGGCGAAGAGAGAATGATGGACGAATGCGCCGATAGGCAACTTGATGAGTACCAAGCAGGTCGAGCAGGAATGAGCAGACAAGGTGAGGGACAACAACGTGATCGGCCTGCCGACATGTCGCAAGCATCTGCAAGCCACACTTATAGCAGATTGAGTTTAAGGAACAACATGCACAAAAGGCTGGGCCTACGACTTGACATCCGCACCAGCCTGGGCCAGTAGGGAAATGTACATCAAAGGCTAGGCCCTCAGGGAGGTCAACTAGACATCCATCGCAACAAAGATCGTGAAGAAAGGAGCTCAACTATCCACTCGCAGATGAGCATTCACGAAAGGCTAGGCCCCAAGGGTGGTCAACTGGTCAACCCCCACAGTGAGGACCATGAGGAAGGGCGCTCTGCTGCTCAGTCTTGAAGAGTTGATTCTCGTCAACAAGCTACGAAAAAATCCTTTGCAAGCACAGTCCACCAACACGCCGCCTAAGCAGCGCAGGCGAGAAGGTCGACCCTCGCAAATCAACGAGGAAGTCAATCAGCATCGCCTAAATTGCGAAGGTCGCCAACGTGATCGACCAGCAATGTGTGTGGAAGACGTTGAGAAGCTTGTGAATGACCGACATCGAGACTTGAAGACCGACAGGAACTTCGAAGACGCACTTCGTAAGGAGATGGACCAGGCGAACTCTACGCCTTTCACCCCCGAAATCGAGCAGGCTGCTCACCCGAAGAGATTCTCAACACCTTCGTTTACACACTTCAAAGGGGATTAAGATTCCGAGAGCCACCTAAAACATTTCAAAAATGTCATGATCCTCCACAAGGTCGACGACGCACTAATGTGAAAGGTGTTTGCGATGACCTTGCGAGGAGCAGCCCAAAACTGGCTTCACACTCTGCCATTCGAGTCAATCAGCTTTCATAACATTGAAATGTTGCATTGTGCTGTGATATAATCAATCAATTGTTGGTCTTCAAACCCATAAGGGGCCTAAGCCTCTCAGTCAGATTTTGCATAATGGATATTTCTTTAAAGAACAATCTATCAAATCTCATAATATGCATAGATCATAATCTTCCAAAAGCCACAAGATACCTCAATTTTTGAAATTCTTGTTACAATAATTCCTCAAAAGCTCCTTCTCCCAGCCAAGTTTTGACCCCGCATTTATAACATTGTAGAAAATTCACAATCAGACCATTCAAACCAACAGGAAGAGAAACTAAAAAGAAAATCATTCCAATTATGGTAGCAAAACTCACAAGACATAAAATAATCCCCAAGTTACTGATCCTCTACAAATGAATGGTGTTATCAAACTCCGACAGATACTGTTTGAATGCATCTGGATTTCCAGTTTCTATTAAATCCATTCCCATCCTATCTAAACCCTCAATAGATTTGTGTACAGAAAATAGAGAGTGAGACCTGCCAGGAAACAAGACATCTAAATTAAAAAAACGCCATTCAAGTTTTCCAAAAATCGGCCACCTAGGCGGGACCTTTTTCAAAAAAAGAAAAACGGTATAGCCTTGCGGCTATACTCTTTAAATAATATATAGCATAGTAAAAAACAGTATCGCCGCGCAGCTATACCTTTTCTACACGTGGAACAGGCGCAAGTCGCCAGGCGGTGGTCTTATTTTTAGCCGTTCGGCTGTACTTGGATTTTTTGACACGTGGCGAAGTAGCGCTAGAAGCCAGGCGGTGGTCTTTTTTTTAATTATAAATAGTATAGCCGAGCGGCTATACGCGGATTTTTATTTACAAAACTGTATAGCCGAACGGCTATACTGGAGTTTTTATTATAAAAATAGTATAGCCCCCGGCTATACCCTTGACATAAAACTTGATTTTGGGCTGAAATTTATTATACATTTCATTTTGACGATAGTAAATGGATTCCTTGTGATCTCTCAACGACGTCGTGTCGACAACGATCTCTCTCTCCCACTCCCAGTCGTGCCTGCGGAAACGCTATCAGTCCTTGTAGGGTTTTTTCTTTTGACAGAAAGAGCTCGGAACCTGAGAGGTGTAATGGTGCGGTGGGTTCCGTAAAGAGCACCATAACAACGATAAATGGAAAACTCAGACTCTGACGAGCAAGAGAAGAAGAGGCCTTATTTAAACTCACTTTCGCCCACCATGGCTCGTAGCTCCACCACTTCTCCACCCAATAACCAAGAGAAGAAGAGGCCTAATTTTTTCTGATGACTAAATCAAAATCTTAGTGTTCATTTTATTTTATTCTTCACATCATATGGATTAGTTTGACCAGTGTGTTTTTCAGGTTCAATTCCATCATGTTCTGCGGGGGAGATGTTTCTTTGTGTCTCCTACAAAGAGATTCTATAGCAGCTAATGGCAATGATGAAATTGCTAAATATGTTGAAGAAGCTCTCACTTTGCGTCATACGTCTACTAGGGAATTGTTAAAACTCTTGGAACATACCATTTATTCTCATAGGGAAAAAACAGAGAGCATGGTCCACACTTTGGATGGAAAGATATCTTCTGAAGGTCAGAGGTTCAATTGTAAATTCATTGTTGTACAAACTAATTTCATACAATAACTTTTTCATTTTTTAACACTTATTTTTGAAGGAGTAAGTGCATGAGGAATTATGTACTGATTATAGGTTCTTTGTTTTTCTTGTGATTCTCAGATGCTATCATCCAGTTACCTAAGATTGATGATATGATGGAGAGGGAGGTTAAAAATCTGCGGGAAGCGATTGATATTCTTCACGTGAAGCAGAAAGAGTATGCTGATGTAATTCGGACTTACCTTAGCAGCCAGTCAACAGATCAGTCTGAAATTAGCCGCATTACAGGTTTCTGAGATGGTTATAGTCACAAGCCTTGGTTTTTTATTTGCATATTTAGTAGGAATGTTTAATCCTACACTTGATTACTGACGGCACTTATGTAGTTTTTGTTTTTGTTTTTCATTTTTTCGTATTAGAAGAAAATTTGAACCTAGGATCTACAGTTCAGCCCATCCAACCCATGTCACTTGAGCTAAGGCTCGTGGCAGTACATGTAAAGATTCAGCATCATATTTAAGACCTATAGATTTAGGAACTTTGCTCAATTTCTGACAGAGAGGTAAGTCTGAAAGTTTACCACTGTTTGGTGATGCCACCTTTTGATTTTGTGTTGAATATGTAAATTTTCTGTTATGGGTGACAGGTGAGCTGGATGACAGCATGACTGAACTAGAGGAGAGTAGGAGGAAACTAGTGAATCTGAAAATGCAAAAGGAAGTCGCATCTGGGATGCATAACCTTACTTCTGGTGCAGTGAATGGAACCCTATCACCTGAAAAATCAACAGAGGGACAATAAGCTTGCGGGAACTAAGAAATTCAATCGAGGAAACAAAGGTATGGATAATGCCAAAACTCCTTTGTACCAGCTCCCATTCTCACTCTTTCGCTAAAACCACAGCTTGATGTATTTGCAGAGATGCCAGACCCGCCAGGAAGAAGGAAATCTGTAAGAAAAAACTACGCCATTCAAGTTTTCCAAAAATGGGCCGCCTAGGCGGGCTAGGCGGGTCCTTTTTTTATACAAATTTATAAATAAACCCAATCCTAGACATGTATTTATAAAAAAACCCAAGCACTATTTAAACATAGAAACACACTCAAAATCAACCCCAAGATCAACAATTGTATATTTTTTGGGTGTGTCTATAAATGGGTTATGAGTGTGTAATGATGGGTTTTTGGTGTGTTTATAAAGTGTTTTGGGTGTTGGGTTTTTTTATAATTTCAGCCATCATTTTGGGTGTTTCAGTGAAACTCCCAATAATATATTCAAAAGTCCTTAAATAATATATTTAAACAGTATAGCCGTTCGGCTATACCATTATTTAGTTATTTATTTTAAAATTAAAATTAAAATTAAAATTAAAATTTTTTCCTGCGCCATTCATTCTTTTTTATGGAATGGATGTGCCTAGCTGCCATTGCCAATCAGTGTCGTTGGCCAACTGCGACCAGTGTAAATTTCGATGTACACCCGTTTCTCACCTAAGTTTTGGAACATGGCCAAAAACTTGAGAATTAAAACTTAAATCTAAGCTCAATATCCTAACATATCAACTCTGTCAAGAATGGTGTGCACTTAAAATCTAAGATCCATACCCCAAACTTTGTTGAGGATGAAGTGCAACTTTTATTTCGCTTTGCCACCTCTCACCAAGACCCACTTTTTGTATGAATATATTGACAGGATTATTACACAATTATGATGGGTAGAGATTGAGTCCAGATGATCTTGATCACATTTCAACCTTGTCACTTGAGCCAAAACTCACAAATCTCTCTTTGACAAAGAAGAAAAGGGTCGGGACAATTGATCGGGATCACTAGTTATAAGTTTGGGCTCTAGTGGGATTGAATCTCTAACAAAAATTAAAGATAAACAATACATGATCTGATCTGCAAATAAATATAAGAAAGTGGAGGGTATCCATTATTAGTGGCAAACGAACCCTAAGAAGTGTTTTCCACAAGTCACTTCCAAGTACTTTTAAATTTTTTTGGCAAAAAATAAAATAAAAAGAAGTTTTAAATTTTTAATAAAAATTTGGATGTCGTTGTAATAACTAAAGATTAAAAGAAAGGGTGATTTTATTAGCACCCTAAAATTTGCTCTTTGCACTCCACATTCTCTTTACACCCCACTGAATTTTAGTAAAATTTAAAATTACTCACTATACCCTTTTTTTTCTTTCTAGATTACCCTCATAAACCTCAGTTCTTAGCTTACCTTGTTTCAGTGGGAGTCCACTGAATTTGTTTCTGTTTTACAGTAGCTATCCACCGAATGTGTTTTTGTTTTTCAATGGTAGTTTACCAAATTTGTTTCGTTTTTCAATGGTAGTCTATTGAATTCGTTTCTTGTTTTAGTGAATTCGTTTCTTATTTCAGTGATCATCTACCGAATTCGTTACTGAGTTTGTACTTAATATTGTTTTTTTAATATTTGAAGAGGACACATAGAGGTAAAATTATAAATTTGTTATAACTTCCACTTTTTCAATTTTTTACTTTTTACTAACGCATTGAATTCAAATTCATTACAGGAGCATGACGAGCGTATGTTGTCCTTTACTAGGCTGCTCGTGGCATTGGGGGAAACAGTTGCATTGTGTACAAGACCTTCCCAAGTTTATCAAGCAGTTGAGACCTTGCAGCGGATTTTAGAAGGTACAAACATACGGTCTACCATGACATATCAATGTCGTCATGGTTAACTGACTTGCTAGCATGCGTCTAGTAGAACTCGTGAAACTTTTGTTGTTTTGACTAGTTATTGCATGTTTGTATTAGAACTCATGGAACTTTGGAACTTTAGAACTCATTCAAACCCTTATGAAGTTTGTCCCACCAAAAAAAGTAATATAAGAAAATAAATAGAATTATTATATTTATAATCTCAATCCAGTAGTGGGTGCATTTTCGTCAGTCATTTGGATGACCATATCTATAGTAGCTACATTATCCACTCTCGAAGTTGTTGAAACGCATTCACAAACGTTTGGTACCTCGAGTGCAAATGTGTTACATTGCATATGTCACTTTGTTCATGCCATATTCTAGAAATTGGTGGAATAGGATGATCTAGAGACAAATGAACCTACAAAAAAAGAATTCATTAATATACGCACAACATATAAAATTAAACTATGTAGCATAAACAGATAAATTCAAACATGGACATAGTGATCATCATCAACAAAACCAATGGCAATCTCATGTAGCTTGGTTTCCCTTGATTGAACTGAGAAGGGAAGAAATGTAACGCATTGTTCCACTGAAATGTCTGTCATATTCATATTTCATCTTTAGGAAGCTTCTGCTTGGAACATTTGGGGAGGATCTTTAACTCTAGATCATCATATCTAATTTACTTGTCACAATTTGTCTTTATTGAAGCCGTTAAAATTTTCAGTCTGTATGTAATGCCAGTGTACGTAAGAATGATTTCTTCCCCTATTCTTGTGTTCAATATACCTATGTGCCCATTTGATGTATGATAGTATCTCTTTACAGATCGAAGACAACTTGAGATGTTACTTCTCATCTAACATCTTGTTTGAAATCTCATTTAGAATAGTGTGTATATATATCAATGCCATATGACGACCTCAGATACCTTCAATTTATTTCAAAACTCTTTTCTTCGTTGTCTTATTAGACTGTTTTGTTTCCAATTTTTCATCTGCAGAGAATGCAACACAAACTAAGATATCTCATAGCAGAAGGGCAGGGTTGTCCAGTGCAGTGAGAAAAATGTTGTCATTGGATTTAGTTCATAATTACGATGGATATATTTTAGAAAGTAAATTCTTACACAAGTAATTTTATACCATAAAATTCAAGATTCTTTTATCTCCAATATGTTGGTGGATCCCTATTTTTTGTTGATGTATTTATGGATTTAACACTTATTATTTCTTATAAATAAAATCCATTTTTTATTCTTGCCTAATGGGCTAGTAGCTGGAAATCATTAGAATGGGAGGTATTGGGAAGTATTTAAATTCTCATTCCCCAACATTACTGGTATAAATAAAATAATTGAAGAAATAACTCTATCCTAATTTGCAAAAGTGGTATTTTAGCCCTAAACCCAAAAATAACATGTCAAAATTGTACATTTTCGGCTATACTATTTAAATATATTACTTTAACGGTACAGCCATGCGGCTCCACTCTTTGAATACATCCGAATATTTTAAAGTTATAGCCAGTTGACTATACTCTTTAAATTCATTCAAAACGAACACGAAGCTTGCACTCGCAGTCACACAGCCATTTCGCTTACAAACTTCACAAAGCCTCTCTCTCTCTCTCTCTCTCTCTCTCTCTCTCTCAACTCAAGCTTCGATTTTTTTTTTCTTTCGTTTCGGCTGCTGCGTTGATTGGATTGGATTGGACTCTCTCTATAAAAACCATCAAATTTCATCCAGCTATTGAAATCTCCACTAAGAGAACAACTCTGATGCTATAAGGGAGTTAGGCGGCGCCTAGGCGTCCTGGGCGGATCTAGGCGGCTCCTAGGTGGCCTGGGGTGATCTAGGCGGCTTGTGGTGATCTAGGCGGCACCTAGGCGGGCTGGGCGGGTCTAAGCGGCCTGGGCAGGTATTCTTGCATGCATCCTCTGCAAATGTATTCTTCTTGGTAGTTACAATTCTGACTTCTTAGTGGTAGTACTTGCGTAGAATAAAAGACGAGTGCTTGTGCGAATTGGGCATTCTGCCTTGTTTATATTATTACATTCTACATCCAGCAGATGAGTTGATTAGTTAGAGAAATATATATATTTTTGTCTGTAAGGACAATATGCAGCACTTGCACTTTAATGGTACGCTAATTGTTTCTGAAAAAGGCGCAGCTTTGATTTATCGAATTATTTATTTTTAACAATTACTCTTTGACTCGGATGATTTGTTCCTTAAGAAAGTAGAGTTTTCACATCTTTTGGGTCCTTTTCAGGGTTTATTGTTTGATAGGGATTCTTCCTTATGGGTGATGCGATGCATGAATGTTGAACTTGCTGACTCGATAAGCAAAAGAGGAATATTCAGCGTGCAGCAACTATTGTATCTCCCCAAGGCAACTTTGCAGAGCATGATTGGAAAATTTCCTACTTCAAAATTGTATCAGGTACGGACTTCTAAGATAGTTGACGCATGGATGACTAACCCACTGGTCAAGATTTAACATGACTGGACAACTTTTTGATTGGGCTGGGTAGGTTATTGAAATACAAGTCAGTTATTGGCTTTCAGGCATGTTCACTGATTTCAGTAGCTTTGCATCTAGAATATTTTGTTCTTCTAGGATCTGCACCCTTTTCCACACATCGAACTGAAATAAAAACTTCAGCGGAAAGTCTCGCTCTTTAGACATCACACTGGTGAACACCAATTTCGGGCAAGAAAGTGGAACACCTCAACATGGGAATTATATGCTCTCATAAGAGAGTATCTTTCTCTGATCACTTGGTTATTCACATGGAGTTACCATCAGCTATGGACAAGAAAATGGAAGGCGGCTGAAGATAAAGCAAGGGCTAGGGGGGGGGAGACAAACACTATACTGAATATTTTGCAGGTCTTAATTTTGCTGTGCATACATTTCCTCCTATTGCTTTGGCTATTATTGGATCATTCTACTTGAATTTGAAGCCAAGGGAGTCAATAAGAAGGTAGTGCATGTTATTATGTCATTGGGTTATGATCACTCAAGATGCCAATTTAACTTCTACTTGTGTGCTTTAATTTTGATAGCAGAAAAGGGAGGAAATTGACTGCTGGCTTCTCAAATCCATTGGTAGTGAACACCCTTCTGGGTGTTTTGTCCACTCTAGAAATACTAGCAGTCTTCCTCTTTATCCTGTTCTTAGCTTGGAATTTTTATGCACGCATCTGAAATGATTTCAAGAACTTGAAGCCTGCTAAATCACTAATGCTGAATTCGTGAGTTCTATATCCGAAAGTTTTCTATTTCGAACATTTAGAAACAAGAACTTCATCATGATTGATGCTTAAACTGTATCTCAGATGGCAACTCAAGTACCTAAAGGTGGAAACTCGGTTTGGTTTGCTAGCAGAAGTCTGCCTGGCTTTTCTTCTTTTCCCTATATTAAGAGGTCTGGGTTTATTTCGGTTGCTTGGCATCCAGTTTGAAGCTTTTGTAAGATACCATATTTGGCTTGGGACTGCAATGATATTTTTTGCCACTTTCCATGGTGCAAGTACTTTGTTCATTTGAGGGGTCAGCTACTTTATCCAGGAGGAGGTAAATCCTAGTCCTTTTTCATTTGAATCATTTGGTTTTCTGTTCGGTGTTAACTCTGCTGTATTATTTTGGTATTGGCATTATTTAGTTTTGCTGATCTTTTTGGTGCAATTCATTCAATCACAGATATGGGAATGGCAGATATACCTTGCTGGGGAGATCTGTCTGGTCACAGGGTTAGTGATTTGGATCACATCACTTCCTCAAATAAGGAGAAAACAGTTTGAAATATTTTACTACACACACCATCTCTACATGGTTTTTCTGGTATTCTTCTTGTTTCATGCTGGAGACCGTCACTTCTACATGGTTTTCCCTGGAATTTTTCTGTTTGGCCTTGACAAGCTCCTTCTAATCATACAATCTAGACCCGAAACATGCATTCTTTCGGCACGAATCTTCCCCTCCAAAGCTATAGAGCTTATTCTACCAAAAGATCCCGGTAATTTTTCTAGACCTTGTTTACTAACCAGAAGTTTTTTACAATTGGAGAAATCATATGACACATCACATTCCACTAATTGCAGGGCCCAAGTATACACCAACAAGCATTATATTTGTGAAGGTACCAAGTATATCCAAATATGAGTGGCACTCATTTAGCATTACTTCCATCTCTAGGGTTGATGACAACACAATATCTATAATGATCAAATCCGAAGGATCGTGGACAAGTTCTCTCTCCCATATGATCCAAACTAGGCAAGAGTCGGATGGCGATCAGACGAAGTACATACCTATTGCAGTAGAAGGCCCTTATGGACCTGTCTCCATGGACTTCCTAAGGTGCATAAAAAATTAACTTTTCATTATAGAATATATATTGTTAAACTGCTCAGTGATGATCAATTAGCATCCTCAAAATCTGGTGAACATGAATTTGAAGTCTTGCTTATTTTCGTTTAGGTGTTTTAATTAAATTTCTCCAAAGCCCAAGAGCCCCAAGGCCCAAGTCTTTGATTAGTATAATATAATTATTATTAATCAGCGCCAAATCCCAAGCCGAGCCTATAGCCAAGCCCATTACCCCAACTCTCCAATGTTAACCACACTTACCAAAGGATTGTGGATTTTCGATGTGGGTTGTTCACAAATGGCACCTCAAAAGAATATCTTCAAAGTATAGCCGCCCAGCTATACCCTTTCAGTAGCTCTCTTTTTAATTACTTTGATTATTAGTTATGTTTTACTTGGTGAATATTTAAGGGAAACAGAAAAAGGAAAATTTGAATTACTATTTATTAAGTAATATCCTTCATGAAGTTAATTAATAAATTTAATATTAATTATTCACTAAATAAATACTAAGTGAAATATAATTACTAATTTCACTAATCAAATAAGGCAAATATATTATTTAATTACTAACAATAAAATTTTAAAAAATTAATTAACCTAAACATCTTAAGTTTATATATATATTTCTTTTAAGAAGACCTCTTCAGATGAAATTTCGTCGGCACAGGTGTTTTCGTCAGGGGAAACCTAATTCGGCAAATTTTTGCCAGCATAGATCTGTGCCAACGAAATTTCATCGGGAGAAGTGTTGATGTATTTTGTTTTTTAATTTTTAATTTTAAAAATATAAAATTAGTTTCTTTACTTTTTCTTTTGGCCAATTTCCTTAATTTAATATATGAAATTAAGTAATATCTTATCCTTTTTGAATTACTTTAATTAGTAATTGTGTTTCAATTATTATTATTTTAGTGAATTTTTAAATATGTTACTTATTTCATAAATTGCTCAATAAATAGTAATTAATTATTTTAAATTATTTTGTGCAATTTTCAACGCATGCCCGAGACATGCCTATTCAATGCATGCCCAAGAAGTGCCTATTCAACGTATTCCCTAAAAGTGCCCATGACATGCCCAAGAAATTCCCAAGGCAGCTTGCTTCGAAATCTGTCCACAACACAGCCTGTGCACACCTTGCTTCAACATCTGTCATCAACATGGCTATGAGAGGCTTGTCGAACCGGGTGCGCACATGTGCCATGACAAAAGCATCAAAGTAAAATTAACAAGTGAAAACACTTAAAAATAAATAAATAAATAAATAAATAAATAAATAAAAAGGGAAATAGCTCAAAATGCCACCCTTTTGATAATTTTAACTGAAAATTCCACCTCTCCCCAAATTTTTGGAACTATCACCAATAAATATATATTTATTGTCCACTTATTGCACACATATCGCTTTTACTGAAGTTCTCTCTCAGCTATCTCTTGGTTCCATCTCTCACTTTCTCTTCACTCTCCCGTTGCTCAGCTCTCACTTTCTCGTCTCTTGTTGCTCAGCTCTCACTCTCACTGTCGTTGCTCAGCTCTCACTCTCTCTTCTCTCTTCTCTCTTCCTCTCCCAGCGGAATCTGTTCATCGAAGCTCAACTCCATCGTTCACCTCCAACAGGTATTGTTCATCGTCATTTTCTTACAGTTTAGGGGTTTCTCTGAAGTTGGTTTAGGGTTTATGGGTTTTTTATGAAATTGGTTTAGGGGTTTGTTCGAAATTGGTTTAGGGTTTAGGGGTTTCACTGAAATTGGTTTCCGAGTTTCTCTGAAATTTTCTTATTCTGATGATTCATTGTTTGAAACAGTGAATGGGTTTGTTCTTTGTGGATTGATGCTTGCACTGCTGTTGTTTTGATGTTGCTATTGATGTCGTATTGCTTTTTTTTTGCTGGTGTATTGCTAATTTAGTGATGTTGTATTGGCATTTTAGTGTTGTATTTCTAGTTTATTGTGGTTTTTGTAGCAGTTATTAATTGGTATTTGGTGGAGTATGTCTTTATGACCATCGCAGTTGTAGCTCAGCTCTCTCTCTCTCTCTCTCTCTCTCTCTCTCTCTCTCTCTCTCTCTCTCGTGCAGTTGTATCCCTTTAGCTCAGCTCTCTCTTGCTAGCGCTCTCTGTTCTAAATTGTCCCCATCTCTCTGTTTTGAATAGGGAAACCCCTCATTAACCCCATCTTCTAGGTATGTCTTCTGAATAACGTAAGGTTGCAGCTGCTTGTAACCTTGAAGCTCTACTCCATTGTCGACCTCCAATAGGTAGTCTTGGTGGTCATTTTCTTCATCTGTATTGGAGTTTGTGAAATTGGTTTTCTTTTGATTGCTTGGGTTTCTGTGAAATTAAATTGCTTTGGGTAATGTTTTTGAATCTTCATGCTCATCCATATGGGTTTTTACCAAATGCACTTAGATTGCTCTGGATATGTGAATCTTGAAACTTGGGATTTTCCATTTGATGTAGTAGATTTGTATAGTCTGATTGTGATGAATCCTTGTTCAATGCTGTGTTATTGTTGTTTTATTTCTGTTGTGTTGCTGTTATGTTGCTGTTATATTGCTATTGTATTGCCATTGTATTGTGGTTGTATTGTAGTGATTTGGTTGTGGCTTCAAATGTGTTAATGAAATGTTGTTTTGTCATGGTCAGAAATGGAGACAATTGTTATTCTGGAAGAGAAAAAGAAATATGTTGTCCAACAATTCACAAAATCTGAAGAATATAATCTTGAAATGGTTGAATGTTTCAACAACGTCTCACCAAATTACAATTGGAGCGAAATTGATGTTACTGGTGTCTGGCAGGTGCTAAATATGGGTGGAGAGGGAATGGCTCATCATAGCCTCTTGCATGCAACAGGAAGGCCAAAGACATGGATCTTTTGATGGACCTCTAATAATTTTCATTTGCCAAGGTTTGTGCAACTGAGTAAGGGTAAGTGCTTGTTCACTTCATATTTTGGTGGGTGGCGATTTATTTTAAATGTCAAAATTGAAGGTAGTCTAAAATGGATGTCTGCGTATTGTACGTATATTGACCTAATATTGTCACCCTAGTATTCTTATATCGCTACTTGTTTGTCTGTATATTGTGTGTATATTGACCTAATATTGCCACCCTATCGTATGTATTTTGTGTCAGTTGGTACTCAGAAGTGTGCCACTTGTTTGTTTATTCTGCGATTGTAGCCCTACATTGTCTATATATTGCACAACAACGACGGGCCATTGTTATACCTCCCTAAAGACAAATTATAGATTTGTTTATATATCGAGCTGTATGAAAAACCTTAACTAAACAATCTAAAGAATAAGTATGCTAACGAAGACGACAACTCCAAAACAAAAGCGAAATTTGAAAGCCGAATCAGAAGTACATCCTAGCAGTATTGATTAGACGTACTACCCAATTTCATTTCACAAAATGAAAATTGATGCATATTATTCTTATTCCAAAATGAGTACAAGTTATATGGCATGTCTACAAAATGGATACAAGTTATGTGCCATGTAAGGCAAGTAGTCACTGCCACCGACTGTACAATTTCCCAATGTCACCATGTACAACATGGCCGCAGACCCCATAAATGATTTCACGTTGCTACACAAAATAACTAAAGCAAATAGCTGTATCAAACTGGATGGATCACCATATAAAGCAGCTCTACCAGAGCTTCCATGTCTGCATATTCATATAAAGGATAAACTGAAATAATTAAATTATGACTGAATGGCCAAGTGCTAAGTGAAGACTAAATTCAATATTGAGAAACATTATCACCTGTATCTCATATCCCCCCCCCCCCCCCCCCCCAAAGCCTCTATCGCAAGCTTTAGTCGGTAATAGGTGATCTTCGATGGGTCAACTTTATCCAAAGAAATGCCAGCACTGAGATGCTCAATGAATTTGACTGTCATTATTCCGCAAGAGGCACTGTTGGGCCAATAAGTTCATAAATTAGAACTACACTTAGTTACAATATCAATAAAATCCATTACATTAACATAGCCTACCCATCACATTGTTGGGGCAGATCTCCAATGCTGCAAATTGTGCAGCAAAAACTAATATACATCCCCGCCACCCAGCTACTTGGCAGCTGAACCAAGGCCTAAAGGTGCATGTCATATTGAAGATATTTCCCTTAGTAATTCTTCAAGTCCATTCTTGAACAAGTGATTCATCTTATATGACTTGTTTCTCACGTGTCCTTCAAATTACGTGTTTCTCACTCCAATTTCTGTCTCACAAGGATTTAAGTCTTTACCTTACATGATCATTGACAATTAACTAACAACACACCTAGTGCTCTGCCACTCCTGCATAATATAATATCTAAAGACACATCTCCAGACACCAGATAATCATGAAACAACTTAAGCTAGAATGGAAGTGTGCGGTAGTAGAAGCCTAATTGAGAACAATTCAAGACTAACAATAGAAATCTATTTGACTAAAAAGAGTTTTTAAAAACAAGAAGACATCGGGAAACAATTGATTGACTTCAAGGTATAATGTAATGGAATATCCTATGAATTAGTGGCAACCACAATAATGACTCCAATATGCCCTCCTTTCAAATGTAAGGAAATGAATGAAATTGGCACCATCCCTTTAATTTTTTCTTAACAAAATAAGAGGTTTGTATGTATTGTTTGCTTTATCAATATCAAAGATAAATTAATAAATACACCATCAAAACTGTATAAAATGTTTGTTAGACATGTACAATTACAAAATTAAAAGTTATCCTCAGAAACAGAGTTCTCTAAGTATCCATACACAAAAAAGAAAAGCAAAAGCTTAAACAATTAGCTTATAGCAAAATCCATGCCCCATTTCTCTAAACCACACCTGCTGGTGGTAGGTTCCCATCTTCACTCATTTCCCACTTTCTTTTAAGTAGCCAATGATCAAGCACAAAAGAGCAAACTTTTAAAGAACTCATTTTACACTACAAAAAAATATGAAAAATATAAGCCATTGAATTTATATTTGCCCTTCGTTTTGACATTGAATTTTCATCCCCAAACTGAAATTCCAAAGAATCACAAGAAAATATGAAAAAGAAAGAAAACTTATCCATATCCAATATGCAAGCCCTAAAGTTAGTAAACAGAGTTATAAAAAAAATGTCAAATTAACAAGCATTTATTCTCAAACAAAAAGTATGATATGGTTGGGAGTTTACAAGTTAAAAATGATATACATAGGTTAATTGTCTTAGACTTTAGATATCATCTTCAAGAAAGAAAATAGATACTGATTATACTTGTAAGAAGGTTAAATGCAATGGTCATAAAGACCCATAGTAAGCCACCAAATACTAATTAATAACTGCTACAAAAACCATAATAAAACCATAATAAACTAGAAATGCAACAGCACTAAAATGTCAATACAACATCACTAAATTAGCAATATACCAGCAAAAAAACAGCAATACGACATCAATAGCAACAGCAAAACAACAGCAGTGCAAGCATCAATCCACAAAGAACAAACCCATTCACTATTTCAAACAAGGAATCATCAGAATAAGACAATTTCAGAGAAACCCCGAAACCAATTTCAGTGAAACCCATAAACCCTAAACCCATTTAAGAGAAACCCCTAAACCTTAAACCAATTTCAAACAAACCCCTAAACCAATTTCATACCCATAAACCCTAAATCAACTTCAGAGAAACCCCTAAACTGTAAGAAAATGACGATGAACAGTACCTGTTGGAGGTGAACGATGGAGTTGAGCTTCGATGAACAGATTCCGCTGGGAGAGGAAGAGAGAAGAAAGAGTGAGAGTTGAGCAACGACAGAGTGAGTGAGCGCTGAGCGACGAGAGACGAGAGAGTGAGAGTTGAGCGACGAGAGAGTGAAGAGGAACTGAGAGACAGAGCCAAGAGAGAGCTGAGAGAGAACTTCAGCAAAAGTGATATGTGTGTAATAAGTGGACAATAAATATATATATTTATACTATAGGTGATAGTTTCAAATTTTTTAGGGAGATGTGGTATTTTCAGTTAAAATTATCAAAATGGTGGCATTTTGAGCTATTTCCTTACTTTAAAACATTGCGGGTGTCCAGATAAAGTGAAAAACAAAAAGGTCTGGGTTGGGTGTTATGAGAAACAAGGGTTTGCAGAGACCACCATTGAATATTAATTTGTAAACAGAACCCAGCCCAAAGCAAAAAAAAACAAGAACAATATTGAGCCCAAAAATATAGTGTCATAATGGATTATTCAACAAAAGCAACCCCACAATAATGTTATTGGTTATTCCAGTAGAGAGAGAGAGAGAGAGAGAGAGAATTCTAGTCTGCCTCCTTCCAAATATCCATTAAACCCTAAACCTAGTAGCAGTTTTCTGGTTTCCATTATTCATTCACTTCTGTCCCATGGTCATGGCCTCAGCCACTTTCTTGAAAGCAGGCCTAGAAGAAATGTCCTCCCACCAAGCCTTAACATGGGGGCGCTCATTGACCAACGAAGCCCATGGAGTCTTCATGAAATAATGAGTGTAGGGAAGGTGGTTTAGGTCAGCAAGGCTATAGAAATCACCAGCCAAGTACTTGGTGCTGCTCAGCCTAGCCTCGTACACGTCCAGCACTTTCGCAAGCTTCTCGAGGTTGGCGTCAATGACCGCTTGATCTGGTGTCATGCCGTATATTGGCGCCACCAAATGTTGGAAGACAATGGCAGAGATTGCAGGGTTGAAGTTCTGAGACTCCGCTTCTGTCCAGACCTTCACTAATGCAGCCTCTTTCAGGTTGTTGTGCCTGATCAGATCGGCACCAGTGTCCTTGAATTTCTCAGCCACATATGCTGTGATAGCTCTAGACTCTGCCATTCAATAAAACAATATGTTCCACAAATGAGTACGGAAAGAAACTAAAAGCTTCAATATATGCGCACACAAAAAAGTCAGATGGTTAAGGACACTGCTTCCCGTTCTTTAGAAGAAGACGATTCTTGTTCCTGCAAATTACAGTTTGACACATTTGCAAGAATAATTCAACAAAAACATAAAACATTTTGCACACATGTCAAATTGTGATTAATAGTGAAAGTAGGAGTTCCAACTTCCAAGAAAGGACCCGAGTATTTTCGTTATTACGATCATTGCGTTATGTATTCAAATTCGTAACCAAGAAACAAAAGTCATAAAATAATCATGGGTATTATGAATACACATAGACTATAGTACAAAAGGTACACTCAAAATGTTCTCCAAAAAATATTTTTTTAAATAGGTTCCTCAAAAAATTGAATCAAAATAGGAAGGGGTTCGGAGAAGATTGGATGCCAGACAAACATTTATAAATAGCTTTTTATTTTTGTTTTTCCGTTGGATTGTTTTCCCCACTCCTCCAATCGTACAGTCCTTTATTGATTTTCCGTTACAGATTCCACGATCTTTAGTTTGTGAAACGGCTAATTCATTAAAAACTTTAAGAACTGCTGGACGTAGATGATGAATATTGCTGAATGAGTGATGTGTATTGAGATACCTATAATTTCAATCAAATTCAAAGAGTGCAATTCACAAAGGGTGGATGGTTTAAAAACAAAATAAAACAAAATAAAATCATGAAGATCGCTGCATAAATCCAGATCTCCAGGAGAAAGGGAACGAAAGGGAGGATCTAGAGCAATATTATCAAATATACATTCTGTTCTATATATAATAAATTGAAGAAAAATTACCAAAAAGAGTAAGATCACCATCTTCTAGTACTGGAATCTGTCCAAAGGGCTGCAAACGAAACCAAATCAGAAATTAAAAAAAAGGCTATGAAAAAGAATGACTTGTGCGATTAATTGAATTGAAACATCACAAAAAAGAAGAAGAAATAATTACATTTTTGGCGAGGAAAGCAGGCTGCTTGTGTTCTCCAGCAGGAAGGTTGACAGGGATGAGTTCGAAATCCAAGCTTTTTTCATGGAAAATGGTTAAGACACGACCGGTGCATGTTGAAAGGGGAAGGCCATGAAGCTTGAGTGCCATTTGTTGATTTTTGTGTGATTGTTGAGGAGAATATCAAAGATGAAAGGTGAAGGTGGAGATGGAGAAGGTCTTGATTCTTGATTTATTTATACAAATTACTGAGGGGCGTCTCTTGTGCTTGGTACGTGTTAGGTAGTATTTACTAGTTGTGATGTAGATTTCCTTCCAAGAAATCTCCACAATTACCCCATGGGATAAGATTTCCCCACTCCCCTTTTCTCCATTTACACTCCATTTTGCTTTTCAATACATTTTAATCAATTTTGTTCTTTCTCTTTCCTATTCTACCCTTACCCTATATTAATTTCATTTTACTTCACTTTTATATTAGTTATTTTTCTTTATACTTAATTTTTCAATTTGCACTCCATTTTTAGTATTTTTCTTTCCTTTAATCGAGTAAGAAATTTAGTTTTTTAACACTGAAAATGGAGTGTAAGTTGAAAAGTTAAGTACAAAGAAAAAATAATAATATAAAGTGAAGTAAAAAAGAAATTAATGTAGGGTAATGATAGAATAGGAAAGAGAAAGAACAAAATTGATTAAAAAGTATTAAAAAGAAAAAAGGAGTGTAAGTGGAGAAAAGGGGAGTGGGGAAATCAACTCCCTTACTCGATTTCTGACATTCCTTCGCAATTAGGAAAGAAAGTAATTAAATCAAAATAACATTTCGTATCCCAATTAGTATAGAAAGAATATATATATATATATATATTTCATAGCTGATTAGTATATTATTTTATTTTATTTTTCAAGAAGGGTCGGTTTGTTATGTAGGTTTTTAAAAAGTTAATTCTTTTTTTGGAGTGGCAAGAAAATTACCAGTTAGTTTAAGCGTTTGGTAAATTTTATTATAAAAATGATGTCACTGTGTATAATCACTAAAATGTATATGATGTTAAAAATGTTACGTCCTAATCAGATTCGAAAAGAAAATATGTTGACTTGGGTTTATACTTTTCTCTTAACCTTTCCAATTTGCCAAATACAAAAATAAAAATGAAAAAAAAAAAAAAAAAAAAAAAAAAAAAAAAGTTATTAGTTCCTTAGAACTAATCCCATTGTAGAGTACACTACGAATTTTATTTCAGTGATAAGAATTGTCAATTTTTCAAGTGTTCATTCATAGATTTCCTTCTAATAAATCTCCACAATTACCCGATTTCCGAGATTCCTTTGCAATTAGTAAAGAAAGTAATTAAATCAAAATAACATTTCTTATCTCAATTACTATAGAAAGCATTTATATAAAAAGAAAAAATAAATAAAAGTTCATATCTAATTAGTACATAAAGTTTTTTTTTCTTCAACAAGGGTAGGTTTGTATTGATGTATTATTTTTTTTAGTACAAGCGATATTCTAGACTACAAAGGGATGGGAGTTTCTCACACACTATTAAGGTGCCATAAGAATTCGAACCAAAGACCACTGGTATGCAAGTTTGGTCCTTTTCCACTCGGTTGGTTTGTATTGATGTAGCTTTTAAAAAAGTTATTTTTGTTTTAACCAAAAAAAAAAAGAAGTTATTTGTTGTGTTGGCAGAATAATCACCATTTTTTTTATACAAGCGATATTGGGAGATGTGGATTTTCTCACACATACACACATTGTTAAGGTGCCATGGGGATTCGAATTTGAGACCACTAGTTTGCAAGTAAAGGCCCTTTCTAGTAGACTAGACCCCACTAACGAATATTGACTAAAATGTACAAGGTGTTAAAAATGTTACATGATATTAGATTCGTAAAGAAAATATATTGACTTGGATTTATACATTTTCTCTTAACTTTTCGATTGGCCAAATGCAAAAATAAATAATAAAAGATCAACTATCACACAAAATATGTTTTATTATTTCTTTAGAACTAATTATATATAAACAATCCTATTTTATTGAGGAACACATTGTGGAGTACACTTATTTCAACGACATGAACCATATATTTTTCAAGTATTTATTCATAGATCATTCTTGTAAAAAGTTAGATACATTTAAAACCATTAAGACATCTAGTTGTGACGAATAAAATAGACAAGCATGGTGACACTAAAATGAAACTATTATAATTGAGTGGTCAAATGGTTTCAAAATACTTAAAAGATAAATTGTTCAAATAATTGAAATACAATACGAAGTGACCCTATAAGGATGTGTGTCAATTGAAGCTATATATATATTCTCATTTTCCTCCGTCCCCTACCCAACCCACCCTTCTCCCAATTATGAACCACTTAGACATCAATTTTTTTTCAAAATTAAGAAAAATAGGGTAAGTTGTGGCAATCGTCTATGAAATAAACTCCATTTTGCATTTTCGTCCTTAAATACCAATAATAGTTAAGAGCATCCACAATCATGCTCTCTATTTTTTAGTTAAATTTTAGCTAAAAACATATAAAAGTTAATTTAGGAGCTCTCTATAAATTTTTAACTCCAATCATGCTCTCTAGTTTAGGGAGTCATAAATGCTATAACTCTTTTTTAATTGGTCAATCTCTATTAAAAAAATAATAAATATTAATTAAAAGTTTGAAATACTCATTAAATAAAGCAGTATTAAATTATAGGGAGCCACTAAGAGTCTTTTCTTTCTCCTCAGATTTAGAAGTTCCTAGAGGTCTCTCTATTTTAGGAGGTGGATAGGGAGCATGGTTGGAGATGTGTTTTTTCCAAATCCTCCCTAAAATTTGTCTAACGAGGTGGTTAGGGAGCCTATTGTGGATGCTCTAAGATTCTTTTCATAAAGTTTGTCTAACTTTAACCAAAAAAAAAAAAAAACACAAAACAATACTATAACTTTCTTAGAAGAACAACAACAACAACAACAAAAACCCCTTATTGTAGATTTGACAAAGAAACATAGTAGCAAAAATCAAGTCGGCCATGTGTGGAACTTAAATTGAGACCCTCACATCATCTAACATGAAAATAATAATAAGAAAAAAAAACAACATAAATTGATGCCATAAAACAATAAAAGTAATGAGCACAACTATCGTAAAACCCGTTACGTACACAAGAAGGTGTTACTTATTTTACTTACTTAAGAACCACTTGAGAACAATAGGGTTTATAAAGAAAGACCCAAAGGAAATAATTTTATTTAAAACCTAGATAAAACCAAAGGTCGACTCCAAAGTCTTAGCTCCTAAAATATTTAGTTAAAACCAGCGGAAGCAAAAACCAAGTTTAGACATTGTAATTTTTCAAACTTCTTATTTTTCAAATAAGACTAGGGAAAGAAACCCTATGGGACCTAGATCCAAGACTGTTGCAGCTAAGCCACCTAAGCAACTTCATTAACGTCGTCTGTATATGGAACCACAATAAGCCACTAGTGAGATTCACTTAGTAAGTAGTACGAACGTGCTTCAAACAAGGCAAACGAGCACAAAGACCACAATACATATATGAATATAATACAGTCTTATACTTAACCCCTTATGCACCATGCATGAAAATGAACACATAGCCTTAACTTAAAAATCTTGCACTAAAACGATCCTATGATACTAGTGGCCCATTGAAACTTATATATATTTAGGAGGGAACCTTAAGATCACCCGTTGGCGACACCAAAAATGTGAGCCTTATAACATACTTATTATATACTCCCAAACATAAGGGCTCAAAGTAACCAAAGATTCTCTAGGGATTATTTCTTAAAAACACATGCTCGAGTAGTGCATGAATGCATGCACATGACTTAAACTACTTACATAACGCGACTTAAACATACTTACATAATGTGATTTAAACATGCAATTAAAAGAATGATTGATTGTTTTGAGTGATGAATGAAAGAAAACTTAATTTTGATAAAAACTGAAGAGCGAAACAAATAAAATACACGAGAATTAAATGGGTTGAAAAATCAATTTGTAAAAACACTAGGACAATGAATCCACCACTAATAACCAATCTAGCCTCTTAATTACCAATCCGTTAATTAATCCAACTGATGTTGTTGATTAGTTTCCTTTTTTTCATGAGTTACCTATGGTATTTAGGCTAACTCGTATATTCCTACATGCAATTTGTCTATGGTATTTAGTACAAATTTGAACATATAGAAAATCCTTAAGATTTGTGAAAACCTTTTATAACCATGTAAACCCTAGGAGTATGGTATTTACCCTAGAAGAATTACAATTCAAAACCAAAAGAAGCAAGCCTCAAATTAGGGTAGCTAAACATCAATTAAAAACCAAGATGGTAGCTAAACATCAAGACATTCAATCAAGTTTATAAGCATGGTGATTAAGAATCCAACATCAAAAGGTAACCAAAAGATAGGCAAAATAAGAAAAATAGATCATCATATTAGGGCTTCATCATGCCCTAGAAAAGTGTTTAGTTACACATAGTCATGATAAAAAATCATAAGAAAAGTCATGGAGAGATAAAACCCGGAAAATAATGGTGATGCGCATGCCTAAGCTCCATGTCCTCTCTCGTATGGAAATTGTGTAAAACGGTGGTACCCAATATTTGGGGTCATTCTTTAACTGGGACACACATCAGCTAACTTGCACACAACATTTGGGGTCATTTCACTTCCTAGAAAATTCGGGAAAAATAGGATACACGTAGCTTTATGTCTAATATTTCCAAACATATATCTTACACCACTAGGAAAAATCAGAAAAGTCTTCAACTCATCAATCTTCCACAGTGGTGCAGTTCTGACGAGATTGCAACTTGAGCTGTCTTAACTTGTAATGCTGGAACAATTGGCTTCATAGAAAATTATGAAAATTTGATACAATGATCTTCAATGTCTTAACTTTCTTCTCCAATTGGCCTTGCTCTAAAACTCTTCCGAAAAATTGATTTTTTACCAAAAACCTTCTAGGAGAGTAGAATAGCTAAAAATAAGGAAAGTAAAGTAATAAGGCTTTGTTTAATCAAATTTCCCTACAAAAACCAAATATAAAAGGTATAAAAATATGAGAACTAACGGACTTATCAAATACCCACAACTTAGATTTTGTTAGTCATTGAGCAAAACAAAACAAAAGAATAAAACAAAACTTAAGAACAAAAACTCAACACAAACAAACAAGAAACTAATTAACTTCCCAATATTGATCTTAGAGATAATTGCCAATTGTTGGATAACTTCTAAGAAATAAGCAGCAATAACTCAAGACATTATCAAACAGTTAGCCCAACTTTAATTGAACAACTTGGAGCGTAGTATGTGCAATAGCCAACATTAATACAACCCACGACTTAAGCTTCACACAAGTTAAATAACCAAATAAGAACAAGTTTTGACTTCAAATTTCACAACGGATGTTCACTCCAATAAAAGCACTCGAAATTTGACTATTTTGTTGATGTTGTTGTTGTTGTTGTTGAGAAAAGATGGTATTTCATTAAACCGAAAGGAACATTACATGGTAAGAACTAGCATGTTAACAGTGGCCTCATTAAAACATTCCCAGAGAAAACAAAACCCCTGGGTAGGAAAGAGTACCACCCATGCTATTGACTAAACAGAAGAGTCAAACAACTTATACAAAACAAACAAACCTAAAATCCGACCACAAAACCCTTAAAACAACATCCCATCACTACGTAGGTACTGTCAAAGAAGTCTCCTATGATCTAGAAAAAGCATTATAGTTCTTCATACAAAGTCAAAAACTTACTATGGGTATCAGAATATATCCAACCAATCACCCATCCACAAAACCATTGAAACACATCCCATCACTACGTAGGTACTGTCAAAGAAAGTCTTTTATGATCTAAAGAAAGCATCATAGTTCTTCGTGAGCATCATAACAGATCTAGCCAAATACCAACCGCCACCTCCAATTTTATTGATCCAGAACCCCAACTAACATGTAAGGGAAACCAAGATTTGCCTCTTAGCCTGAAGAAATTTTCAAAGAAAGATCTTCATAGTAGGAACATTCATCAGTTGCCAAGCCCACAAACATTCCATAGGAGAATTATTAGGGAGACCTTGGAGATCCCTTGAGATTGGTCTCCTCCACCTTGTCAACAAAATCCTCGATACAAATACTATGCTTACTAGAAAAAGCCATGTCACTAACAGTCAAATGCCCAACACCAATTTCCACACGCTTATTATTCTTGCTTGGTGCCACATACTTCTCACCCCCTTGATTTGAAGAGGCGGTGGCCACCTCCATTACGTATGATGGGGACCCATCAACGACGATTGGTTCATTGGGAACTTAGAAAGGAAGCCGACGCAGCCACCTCAGGAAAAACAAAAGAGCAAAAAAAATATTGTACCAAATACACCAAGAAGAAGCCAAGGAGACAATCAGAGAAGATTGAGAGAGACAACACAAAGAATGAGTAAAGAAAACTGGAAAAACCGTAACCCTAGCCATCAAGGCTTTCTTCACGTGAACGAGAGAGCGACCACAATAGGATGTGAGAGAAATTTGACTAGTTATTGTCACTCATATATATGTGAGAGAAATTAAAACAATAGGATTTACTCGCATAATCAAAATGAAGGCACAGAACATGAATTTTCTCATGGAAAGATATCACATACTAGAAAATATTTAAACCATCCGACCATAGTCCTTTCACACCTATTCTCCACATGAGGAACCATACTTCTGACTAGATCGAATAGGACTTTCATTAAAGTTGTAATAGGGTTTTAAGGTTGACGAGTTATCCAAGATTTGATAAGATGCTAGTTATCATAAATATAACATAAATATTTTCTAACTAAAACTAGACATCACATGCATGTTTTTACTTTTCTTTTTCTCCTGTTTTGGCTGCTGCTACATCTTCATCAACATGGTCACCTTTTGCTATGAGGAGACAAAGCCTTATATTACCCGTTGAGAAGACAAAGCCTTTTAGTACCCGTTGAGGAGACAAAGCCTTATAGTACATAGTGGAGAGCTTTAGCTAGCATATGGAGACAAGAGCATATGGGAGTGACATGAAGCCATGAACATGCGCAAAGGAATTGAGATGCTGTCAGAAAAGTTCACGTGCATTTGATATTGATATGAGAAATAGCTAACTTGTAATGCTTCTTGTACTTTGCTAGCTTTATTACAATCTAAGGTTTTGGCTTCTCTATATAAACTCTCAACCCACCACCTTCACTCTTACCCCTCATCCCACTCTTATCATTAATTTTATTTCATTATAAATTATACTATATTATTCGAAGCTCTTGGAATCGAACATGATTCCAACACTCTACTCCAATATATTATGAAGGATGGTTTGGGATAGGGATAGCAAAAACCCCCACAGGGTGGGTCCCCATCGGGTCCCAAACCCTAACGTGGAAAGATTTTAGAACCAAACGGGTATCGGGTACGGGGATCCTCGAACTTGAAAAATCCTTGATGGATATGGGGAGGGGATGATATTGGCGTCCTCATCCCCGAACCCGACCCGAAAATATATATGATTATATTTAAAGATGTATATATAATTATAATATTTATGTTTAACCTAAGTTAACCTCCATTTCTTAATTCTTCCTAATCTTCTCTGGAATTTCATATTGATGTGATTATGAATAGTTGAGTTGAACTTTAGAGTTAATTTGGATGTGTTGAATGATAATTTATTATGAAACTTAATGTTAAAATGTATGATAAATATTTTTAAGGCAAAAAAAATGGGGGATTCGAGGCGGGTATGGAGAATAGTCCCTCAAAGAGGACAAGGATGAGGATTCCCCGAAACCTATTAAACGGGGATGGATTTGGTGACGGGGCGGGGATGGAGAGCGGGGACAGGGATGGTATTGTCATATTCGGCTCCTACCCAACTCGTTGCCATCCCTAGTTTGAGAGACTACAATCATGAGTTGTCAGAGGTCTTGATGAACCTGGTCTCCGTCATGGTCAATACTATGCATTTTAATAGGGCGGTGGGTAGGAATATCAACTTGCGCATCTATAACATCAATGATGTTATAGTAGCAATTGCCTTGAAGTGTTCGACTCAATGGAATGGTCGTATGGCTATATAGACTGATGTGCCTAGTGATATTCATGTCATGCAACATGTGGCAGAAAGAGTGGGTTTGCATTTGGAAATAAACATACTCCATAAGAGGATATTCCTCAACACTTTACCCAAACTTATGTATCATGTAAGAGCTCGTTGAAGTTGACTGCAGTTATAGAGGCATTAACATCAATGAACATTATTGAGGTTGGAAGCGACCAAGAAATGGTATTTCATATTGATGTCAAGTAACAGATTAATCCAAATTGATGTCAAGCAACAGATTAATCCAAATTGACTCTTTTTTGTTCGCGTCATTGCGAGGGATGTCAATGAAATAGCCTACACTACGCAATACTATGGTACCTAAGCCACAATACAAAATAATACAAAATAATATGTACCTAAGCCAATATGTCAATACCATAGTATTAAGCAGTGTAGGCTATTTCATTAGCATCCTCAGCAATGATGCAAACAGAGAAGAGCAAATTTGGATTAATTTATTGTTTGAGATCAATAAGAAATATCATTTCTTGGTTGCTTCTGACCTTAACAATGTGCATTGATGTTAATGCCTCTATAATTGCAGTCAACTCCAACGTGCTCTTGCTTGATAAATAAGTTTGGGCAAAGTGTTGAGGAATGTCCCCTGATGGAGTCTGTTGATTCCCAATGCAGTGATTCAAACCCACTCTTTCTGCCACATGTTGCAGACAGAGTGCTGGTGGTGGGATTCATGTCTTCTTGTCCACTATTGCCTAAGTAGAGGTGATGCTTGCTCCGATAAAAAGTTAAACATAAACTACAAAATTTCATTAAAAAACTGAAAATTTTAAAAAACAAAAATAAAAAAGAAGCAGAGACCTTAATCCTTATGGGTTGATCGCATATAGTGTTGGTGGAGAGAGGCTCATACTTGTGTTGTAGAGGAGGCGGTGTTGTGGTGGTAGAAAGAGGACACAAATAGATCTGAGCATGAGAGGGGACTGCACTGTTGGAAACAAATAGAAAAAAAAATGGAAAAAAAGTTTTATAGCCTTGAGTAAGTGATGTGCTTCTCATTAAAAAAATATTAAAAAATAAAAAAAGATAACCCGTGGCTTTAATCTCTTTTATCTAGGTGCATATTAAAAGTTTTTTTTGTCTCTTATTTGGCAACAAAAAAAAAAAAAAAAAAAAAAAAAAAAAAAAAAAAAAAAAAAAAAACCTTTAGTCTCTGAATTTTATAAATAAACTTAAAACAAGGGTAATGTTTTTATTGATTTCAGTTACAATTAGTTTTGTATTTATTATTATTTCAATCAATAGTCACCCGATGCAAATAATTACACATGAACAACAATAGTGAGAACCAAGCAAAATTATTGACCAAAACCAATTTAGTTACAATGAAAACGTGAGAGAGAGTCAGAGAGGGAGAGGTGGGTGTGGGGTAGGAACATGGAGTAGTGAGAATTAGTTGCATAGCACATACTACCCATTAGTTTCTAGGTGAATTAGATGCATAACCAAAAGAGCCACATGTATAGCCTATTTTCATGTATTGGTTACATAAAAATAAACTAATAAATGGTCTCAAGTTGTTGGTCATCAAATGAATAGTAACATTTGACATTTTTAAGGGAACAATATGTAATTAGGAGGAGGGGGGGAGGGGTGGGGGGGGCGGGGGTGCCTTGCATGAATTTTTTGTGATGATAGTTAGCTCTCAATATTGTTGTAGTGGAGTCAGTAGTTGTCGTCTCTCTTCAAATCTCTCATCGAAGTTCTTGACAAATTGTCTTGATCAACCCTCAGTTTCAAATGGGTGGTCAATCCTTAATCTCAAATGGGTGGTCAATACTTTATCTCTGGGGTGAAACCCGTGAACTTGTCGGTGATAAATTCATGTTGGGTGGCAACCCTCAAATCAAACAAATGAATGAGATATCCATAGGCTTGTTCAATAATGCTCTGCTGAGCAAACATGAAAAAAAAATGAAAAGCAAAATATTGGGGTTTAATTCCACAACATGTGACAAGCAAGAATAGGGTTTACCATTATCTGTAGACTCTAGTTGATTCCCTGTGTATTAGTGAGCTGCAAATAAAAAGTGACACCTAAACATGCGAAGAATAAAATGTTGTGCAATGTAATTTATGTACTGTATTGTTACGATTTCTGAAAATGCTTTATTGTTTTGTTCTTTGTATGCAGAGTGTTGATAATGCTCTCTTACTCACCAAGAAGGTGAAGTAAGGATTGTATATTCTCTTTTCTATAAAAAGTGAGCACACACAGTGTGCACTATATGGTCGTTGGCCTTAGCTGGATACACACAAGCAACATTGCATCTTAGCCATTCATCTAGCTATTTTCTAGGATTGTTACAAGTGTCTTATTGCAGCCTTAACTTTTCCTCAAACTCATCATTCTCTAAGACTAAGTGCATACACATTTTAATATTCTGGGCTTATTCTATACCTATCAGCTCATTACTTATAATTCTACATTCCCCTTTAAGTTTTGAGCTAATTTTACACCAAGCTTATCTCTAAGGTAGCAAAATTAATCTTTAGCGAAGGCTTTTGTGAAGTATTTGCTAGTTGCTCATTTGTAGGGCAGTAAGTCAAATCAATGATTCCTTCTTGTAGAGCATCCTTGATGAAGTGATATCTTTGATCAATGTGCTTGGTTTTCTGGTGAAACACAGGATTCTTTGTGATGACAATTGCAGTAGTATTGTCACACTGAAGTGGAGTAGCCTTAGCTTGAAATTCACCAAAGTCTTCCAACACAAACCTAAGCCAAATTGCTTGTGCAGTTGCCTCTGATGCACTGATATACTCTGCCTCTGCAATAGAGAGAACAACACAGTTTTGTTTAACTGAGGCCCAAGCAAAAACTCCACTGCCAAAAGAGAAAGCATACCATGAGGTGCTTTTACTGTCATCAACTAAACCACCCCAGTCACTATCACAGTAGCCAATAAAGACTGCATTCCTTCCTTTCACATACTCCAAACCATAGTCAAGTGTTCCTTGGACATACCCGAGGACTCGTTTTGCAGTCCCATAATGCTTATTGGTGGGACAATGCATAAATCTAGCAAATAGACCAGCTGCATACATCACATCAGGTCTTGTGGCTGTGAGATACAGTAGAATTCCCACAATCTTCCTATACTGTTCTTCATTTGCTGGACCATTGCCATCATCTTTCCTTAGTTTTTCAGTTGTAACTAAGGGTATAGAAATAGGTTTACACTCACTCAAGCCAAATTTACTCAACAAAGATGCTGCATAATTTCTTTGATGAATAAAAATACTTGTATGTGTTTAGATGACTCATATCCAGAAAGTGATGCAAGAGTACTAAGTCTGTCATTTCATACTTTACCATCATGTCTTTCTTGAACTCTTACAGCATTGACTGACTATTCCCTGTGTACACAATGTCATCTACATATATGGACACAATCAGAATCTCTGCTTCTCCTCTAGTTTTGGTATAAATAGTGGCCTCACTTTGACTCTTCGCAAATCCACATTGAGCAAAGTAGGTGTCAATTTCACCATACCAAGCTCTTGGTGCCTGTTTTAAGCCATACCGAGATTTATGAAGCTTGTACACCTTGTCTTCACTCCCCTTGACCACAAACCCATCTGGTTGATCTATATATACCCTATCTTCTAGGACACCATTTAGAAAAGCAGATTTAACATCTAATTGATACAATTTCCAACTCTTATGTGCTGCCAATGCAACTAATGTTCGGATTGTGTCAAGTCTAGCTACTGGTGCAAAGGTCTCATTATAGTCTACACTTGGTTTTTGAAAGTAACCTTTAGCTACCAGCCTTGCCTTGTTCTTTTGTATTGAACCATCAAGATTTAACTTGGTTTTGAACACCCACTTAACTCCAACTATAGGCTTATCAGTTGGTCTGTTCACCAGCTCCCATGTTGCATTTTTCTCTATCATTAACAACTCATCTTCCATAGCCTTCATCCATGATTCATCTTTAGCAGTGTCATCAAATTTTTCAAGTTCCATAATGCAAAGATTGCATTGTGCTAGAACATCATCTAGATTTCTCCATTTTAGTGGAGTGTGATCAAATGCTTAAGTATTTCTCATGTTGCTACTTATGCCACCCGATGGTTCATAAGGAGGTGACAACCTTGGTGATTGAATGTGATCATGGCTTCCAAGAGGTGCCATTGGTGATGTAGTTTCAGATATATCGGGTTGCTCTTCATGATATGTCACATATACCTTTTTCTCAGACATTTCCTTCCAATCTCAAGCTGCATTTTCATCAAACACAACATCCCTTTAGAGTAGAAGTTTTTAGTAATAGGATCATACACTCTGTAACCTTTTTCACAAGTTGCATAACCCACAAATATACCTCTGGTACTCTTTGCATCTGACTTCTGTCTCACTTCACTTGGTATGTGCACATAACACAAATAGCCGAATATTTTAAAATGAGCAATCCTTGGTTTTCTCTTACTGTATGCTTTAAATAGAGTTTTATCTCCAAGTGCTCTAGTAGGGCACCTATTTAGTATGTAGACAGTTGTGTGTACAGCTTCTGCCCACAAATAATAAGGTAATCCCTTCTTCTCATGAAGCATGGCTTTTGCCATCTCAACTACAATTCTATTCTTCCTTTCCACTACTCCATTTTGTTGTAGAGTGTAAGTCATAGAGAATTGTCTTTGAATGCCTTCTTCTTCACACAATTTGTTGAATTCACAGGATGTGAATTCATCTCCTCTGTCACTTCTCAAACACTTTACTCTAAAACCACTTTGCAACTCTACCATTGACTTGAACTTTTGAAAACAATTCAGTGCATCAAACTTGTATCTGAGTAAATAGACCCATACCATCCTTGTACAATCATCTACAAGAAGCATGAAATACTTGTTGCCAGCAATGGATTCATTTTGCATAGGTCCACACAAGTCCACATGAACTAGCTCAAGAGGATTGCTTGCTCTTCATGCTTGGTTCTTTGGAAACCACTCTCTATGCTGCTGCTTTCCAAGTTGACACCCTTCACAAACTTCATCAACGTCTAAGTGTGGAAGTCTATGGACCATTTCCTTTTCTTTGAGTTGGTGCAGCCCCCTTAGATGTAGGTGACCTAGCCTTTTGTGCCAAATCCACGTAGAGTGAGATACACTTGTCTTCAATGCAACATGATCATTAGGTAATCGTGCCAAAGGATAGCATCTATTCCTTTTCATTTCCACTTTGATGACAAGATTCTCCAGTGAAGCACTATAAAAAACACTGCGCATTTTGTCTCCAAATAGCAGATAATAACCATGCTCATCCATCTGTCCCATGCTTAGCAAGTTCTCCTTCAAACCAAGTAGCTACATCACTTATTTGATATACGTTCTACCTTTGCTAGTGTCAATCACCAAATTGCCTATTCCAGCTACATTTACAAGCTCTCCTGTTGGCATTTGTACCTTACCTATTACATTTATTCTTATGTCAGCTAGAAGCTTTCTATCCCTAGTCATATGATTGCAGCAGCCACTATCTATGTACCACTCATCATTAACACATGTTTCAAATATGGTACTATTGGTATAGAACAAATTTCTGGTTACTCCCACTTGATTTACATAGTTAGCTTCTGCATAGTTTTGTTTACAGTACATTCTCTAGCCTAATGTCCAAATTTGTCACAATTGTAGTGCTTAGGCTTTCCTTTGTACCTGCATTCACCAAAATGAAACTTTGAACACACTTTGCATTGTGGTTTTGAACCTTCTTGACTCACTAATTGTGATGAATTTTGTGGAGAGCTAGTCTGTTGATATTTGGATTTTGATTCCCATGGCTTGCCTTTTGGATTTCAATTCTTCTAGGATTTTGATGAACCAGATTGGTTGCTCCCCTTGTTCTGATTCTTTGGACTAACTAAGAATGAGGCAAATGCCTTCTTAGCTGTATTAATATTATGCAGCTCAAAACGTTGCTCTTGGCTCTTCAGGATTGTAATAACTTCCTGCAATTCTACAGTCTCTAGACTCTTTGTGTTCTTAATCACCAGACAAATAGAATCATAAACTTTACTAAGACTGATTAGAACCTTTTGAACAAGCCTCTCATTAGAAAGAGACTCTCCAAATGTTTTCATTTGGTTAAGCAACTCATTCAATCAAGTAAGATAAACAGATAGAGGTTCATTATCACGCATTCTAGTGTGTTCAAATTCACATATGGGGTTTTGAAGTTTTACCGATCTGACATGGTCACCACCATGATATTCTCCATACAGCAGCTGCCATGCCTTCTTAGCTAAATCTGCATCTGCATTTTGAATAATCCCCAGAGCTTTTGCATATTTCATAAGAATCGTAGCCATCTTCTCATCATCTTCTTCTGCTGATGGTTCCTTAGTAGACTTCTTCTTCTTCGAATTTGGAATCGTGATTCCTTCCTCTATCAGAGTCCACAACCCATATGACTTGAATATAGTTACCATCTTTATTCTCTAGAACTCGTAGTTCTCACTGGAGAAGATCGGAGTTCTTGCTTTTGAATTTCCAAATCCAGACATTTCTGATCTCAGGTAACCAAAAACATTTTATGTTAGATTTCAATTGAGCTCCAACGATCGTCACGAACTTGAGTGAGCACATATGTAGCTTGATTTCACAGTTTTGAAAAATACCCAGATTCAATTGACCCAACCTGGCTCTGAGCCCATGTTAGTGTTTTAAGATTCTAGTTGGGTTATGGGATTCACAAGCAGAGAGAAACGAAACTAATGAAGAAGAAGAAAATTCATAGTGTTGATAATGCTCTCTTACTCACCAAGAAGGTGAAGTAAGTATTGTATATTCACACTATATGGCCGTTGGCCTTAGCTGGATACACACAAGCAACATTGCATCTCAGCCATTCATCTAGCTATATTCTACGATTATTACAAGTGGCTTATTTTAGCCTTAACTTTTAGAGCCTCACACTTGTCATTCTCTAAAACTAAGTGCATACATAGTTTAATATTTTAGGCTTATACTATACCTATAAGCTCATTACGTATAATTCTACACACGCAAGTTGCCTCTTACCCTTGCCAATAGCATGCGGCCTTTAGAATCTATGATTACCCAACCAACCCCGCCATGTTAAGTCTACGCCAACCAAGCACAATCATAGTTCACCTTGATCCATCTCGGCGATGGTTTTTTCCACTTATTCTCCTTGCCCTCTTGTTGGTCAAGTGGGCAAGGGAGTTCATTAATCAAAGGCTTGGATGTCATTTGAGCCGTCTTATACTCCTGTACTTGTGGCCAGAAACAACGCACCACATCTTCAGAGCAATGACTAACCCTTAAAATACTGCAGTATTATGATTCTTCCATAGTTTCCACAATCCAAACACCACCAATTGTGAGGTATCTTTAAAATTCTCAACCTTGGAAAACTTCTTTAATATACTTTCCTAGCAACCAATAAAGTCTTCCCCTTCAATTCGCGATATATCAAGTTGTAAGAAACTAGCAAACCAAAATAAGCACGCATGCTCACGGCCGAAAAAAAAATGTATTTGAGATTCTCCTTCATGTGCACATAGAGTGTAGCATAGGCATTGTCCATATCAACATGGCGACACTTCAAGTTCTCCTTCACGACTAATCCATTAAAACAATATAAGTATGGTTGAGTTTTCAATGAAGCCGACCCTAATGAAAAAAAAAACTTCCCTATAAATCCATCGGGCCAGGGGATTTTGTTGGGTTTAACAACTTCACCACTTGCCAAATCTCCTAAGAAGTAACTTTTTGTGTTAATTCATCATTATGTTGGCTTGTTACCCACCTTTGCACACATCCCCTGATGTCATCAGTATGTGTGGGACATCCAGAAGTAAAAATATCCTTGAAGTTTGATATTGCAATGGTTTTTATATCATCTTCGTTAACGCACCGGCTTCCTCTATCATTCTCCAATCCCATTAATCAATTTTCCCTTCTCCCAGCAAGTATCTTAGAGTGAAAAACTTGGAATTTGTATCCCCTTCATTTAGTCACTGGACCCTCGACATGAGTTTCCAATACATCTTCTTCTCTTGAAGTGCACCTTTAACATTGAGTTCCATTTGCAAAACATTGTCAAGGTCAAAATCTAGAGAGAGGTAAGCATTCTTCAACTGTTGTTGTAACAAATCAATGGTTGCCTTAGAACTCCTCCACTCCTTCCTCTACCAATTCAATAAACCCTTTGGTACCCAAATTAATTTGTCTGAAATTTGAGACCCCAATGATCCATGAAACTGTCGTCCCTGCCTTTCTTCCACTACTTTACGACAAACCTCAGCATCTCCCTAATGCGGATCATAAATAAACATTTTTCGCCATTTCTGAGTTGGAGCCTGAGTTTATAGCATAAGCATAACATGATCAGCTCATGTCACTGCCACATGATGCAGCATCGTTGCTGGATACAAAGCCATCCATTGATCAATCCCCAACCCCTATCCAAACGTTCCATTATTCCTCCATGTGAAGGGATGACCCACATATCCCAAATTCAAGAGGTGGCTATTTAATGCAAACTTGCGACCGTCTTGCAACACACGGTTTCTCCTTTGAGCACTTCCCGACAATTCTTCGCCCTTTCTAGCCAAATACACTAAGAGCCCTTCTTGAACACACCCTTGCACTGTGAAACAAAAGTGAAGCCTATCAGAAAACCAGGGCCATCAACAACACAAACCCTAGCTGCTCTGCCAAAACCCTAGCATAATCACCTCTTCATTCGAGAGAGTCATCCTATGTTTTTTTATTTTAAATTTCAAGTTGATGTGACTCTTTTCCATATATTTTTCCTATAGTCACCCTAAACCATTTTAATAAGTCTAGTCAGACGAAACGACTCTTTTCCATTTTAATTGAAATAGTTCAGCCCTACTCGCCAATCATGGCCTTAAGTGTAATAGAAACGAAAAGTTTCACCCAAATAAAAATAGGGGAAATTTGCATAAGGCTTAATTATGTACATGCCCTTTGTGCTTACAAACTTGTCTCAGATTACCACATGTGTTTGCAAACGGCTCAAAGTACCCCCCAACCTTTTAAAAACCGTCTTACGTTACCCCTTCTGTCATTTTTTTGACGTTCCGTTACGAATGTTACTGTTCATCCCCCCCAAAATTCCAGAACAGCAGCCCCTTCTCTTTGTTATTGTTCATCCGACTAGTTTTTGGGCTGCCATCTCCTCCTCCGGCCACCCCAAGCGACGACATGGGTATCAAAAGAACCAGCACGTTGTCCTCTACCAGCCTCACATCTCAGCCGCTGCCAACTATCATCTTGATTGCCGGAAAAAGCAAGAAATTGGCTAGTTTTTACCCAAAATCTTCATCGCTTGTTCAGGCGATTCCGAGCACCATTTGCTTCGATCCAGGTATGATTTTTCAACCTCTCGAGTTGTTCTTGCTGCTAGTTGTGTTGGTTAGGAGAAATTTATGAGTTTTGAAGGGTAAATAAGCGATGAACAGTAACAAAGGGGAGGGGCTTCTGTTCTGGAATTTTAGGGTGGATGAACAGTAACGTTCGTAACAGAACGGGTAACGTGAAACGATTTTTTAAACATTAGGGGGTACTTTGAGATGTTTGCAAACACATGTGGTAATCTGAGATAAGTTTGAAAGCACATGGGGCATGTACATAATTAAGCCTTTGCATAAATACCACATAAACTTTTACGCATGTGCATGCTTACCACATGAACTTTATAGAGTGTTGCAATGTACAACTTACGTCTCACTTTGTTAAAACTTTCCGTTAAGTTTAAGGGCATTTATGTCAATTCCCTATAACTAAAACACTTAGGGATATTTTAATAAGAATGTTGTTATTTTCACTTAGGCCCTATTTCTCAACTCACCTTATCTTCCTAACTATCATGTAAATTTGAAAAAACATAATTATATCTTTCTACCCACTATTATTCATAAAATACCCTTTAATTATTAATTCAAGCAAATTATCTCGGCAATTGTGCAAATTGCCCTAAAAATATAAACAAAAACAAAGAAACTACAACATAAAATTCCAGAAAATCGCGAACACCATTGATTGAATTGATGGGTTTCACAAGATTTGGGCGGCCAAAAGGAGCGCAAGGGCAGTCGAGCCCCAACCTGTACGTGGCCAACTGTGGGCCAGCGGTGGGACTCTCCTATGACACCATTGTTTCGGTGTTTGGGGCCTTCGGTGAAATCAAAGGAGTCTTTGCGGCTGATGAGAGCGGTGCTCGTGTTGTTGTGTGTTTTGCTGAAGAGGGCTGTGCCCAGAATGCCTTCAATGCACTGAATGGACGACCTTGTGCTGAGCTTGGAGGGCGTTCCTTGCACATTCGCTATTCTGTGCTTCAACCCACTTCACAATCACAGGTACTTTCTCTTTGTGTTGGACTGTTGGACTTGAACTTCATTGTTCTAGCGAAAGTTCGTTTCTTGAGGGCAGTAGGAATGAATAGTTGGAACTTTTTGATTCTGTTGAAGAAATTAGATACTGAGTATTGATTATTGGTTTGACTGGTGAAAATGATTCAGGTTGAGGACTTTTTAAGTTGTTTGAGAGGAAAAAAGAAAACCTCATCTGGCCGAATTTTTTATTCGTTTATTCTTTTGTAGCATAATTGAGAAGAGCTGTGCTTGTAAAGGCAAATGCCATGACTTGATTTCATCTTCTAATTCTCACTTTAGGAAATATTGTGGTTAAATATGGTTGATTAATGGTTTGATATCACTACGTTGTTTCCTATGTCTTTGTGCAGATTAACTTGATTCCTGGGTGATACCTATTTTCCTTGAAATGAGGTTTTGATGTTATTTGCAAATGTGGGATGTCAGAATTCCCACTTTTAAAAAAATGAAAAATTATTTATTCGAATCCCTTGTTTGTTCTATTATAACAATGCAAATTATTGTTCAGTTGCATTGCATGGCTGCATGTCTTGCTTATTTTTTTTTCGTTTTCTTCTTGAGTTCGAGAGTATGTATATCATTCTTCAATTTCTTCTCACATTAACAAGATTGGTGTCTTTTTAGGGCCGAGTCAATGACTCAGTTCCTGTATCTTTGCTGGCCTCAGAGCTAAACATTCCTGGCCTTTACCTAATGCACGACTTTGTTACTGCTAAAGAAGAGGAGGTGTTCAGTCTCTGTCTTTTGAAACAGTACTTAATTCTTGCTTTATTCAGTCACATGCATTTTCTTTTAAACTTTTGGTGTATCATTTAAAATTTTCTGCACTCACCTTACAAATGTCTCTTATTTTGTTTATTTAGGAGTTTCTTGCAGCAGTTGATGAAAGGCCTTGGAAAAATCTTTCGAAAAGAAGGGTTCAGCATTATGGCTATGAATTTTGTTATGAAGTAAGCTTCAAATACTTCAGAGCTAGCCACCTCCTTTACTTTGATTATTTAGTAATCTACACCGTGTTTAATATATCCATTGTGTTGAATTTATTTTGATTAAAGACAAAGTGGAAAGGCTTTTATCCCATCAACTCTTTATATCTTAAAGGAATGCTCTCTAATTACTCTTTTTAGAAACCTTAAATAGTGACAAAGTGTAAAGGGATGGAGCTATAGTGGATGCCATAGTGATTCTGATATATAATCCAGTTTAAGATGTTATTTGTGCTTTTACCTGTTTCCCCTTCAAATAAAAAGTGTTGTTGTGGTTATTTTTGTAATCTTTCCTTAAACTTCTGTCGTTTATCAATTCTTTTTTAGCAAGGTTACCAAATTCTGGATGACTCTTGTTAATTTAGGAATGTGAATAAATTCCCAAGCGTTTATGTATAATCTCTGTTTACTTGTTGCTACAGACAAGGAATGTTGATTCTAGAAAGAACTTAGGTGAACTTCCAGCATTTGTTTCTCCCATACTTGAAAGGATAGCTATGCTTCCCATGCGTGAGGATGCTGAAGCTATAATTTTGGACCAATTGACGGTATGCAACTATGTTTTTCTGCACTTAATTATTATGTCAATTGACAAAGTAAATTTTGTTTTCTTACTTTTATTTTGTGTTGAAATAGAAGAGGATAGCTGCTATATATGGATATTCACCCTATGTCTTAGGTTGAGTTATTGAAGCATGGTATGCATTTAAGACTGAAGATAGACTATTATATTACAGGTTAATGAGTACCCACCTGGGGTGGGCTTGTCCCCACATATAGACACCCATTCTGCTTTTGAAGGATTAATTTCAGCCTTTCGTTAGCAGGGCCTTGCATTATGGAGTTCAGAAGATATCTTGATGCGGGGTTGACTCCTAGAGCTTCCTCAAGTTCTGATATTGAAATAGAAAGTTCTGAAAACAATTCAAATTTCTTAAGGAGGGCAATCTATCTTCCTCCTCGATCTTTGCTACTGTTAACTGGAGAGGCACGCTATGCTTGGAATCATTACATTCCACATCATAAGGTATATTTAATAGTTTGTAATTTAGCATATGTTTGTGTGCTGAGGGCTTGTCTGGTAATTACCTAAACCATTTTACATGCTGCAAGAAGTTGTTAGAACTATTACTCGTGATTAATCATATAAGGCACCATCATATCACAATCACCATCCACCCATCATCAATCTATCTCTCTCTCTCTCCTCTTCACGGTGTTGAAACTTTGCTATTATAATTGATTGTGAAGGTTCAGTAATTGCTTTGGTTCTTTGACAGATTGACATGGTGAAAGACAGTGTGATCAGAAGAGCCTCGAGAAGAGTGTCTTTCACATTTCGTAAGGTGTATATTTTTCAATTTTTTTTCTTTTTTTGGTTTATTTTTGGGTGGTACTGTGGAGAATCTAATTTATGTCATATGATATAATCATTTGTCGACGGAATCCTTGAATTTGATTTACAGAAAAACAAAAACTTATGCTTAGAAGATGTAGATGGAAAAATTTCTTAAGTGAAGCAGAACCTGTTCTGAAAACCATTGTAATTGTTCCTAATATGATTTAGTATTTGGAAACTTATGATTCAAAACCCGCGTTATAGAGGAGGTAACGTACACTATTTGAATCAATCATGGTCTGAAAGGGTAAAAGTTGCACTGAAAGTTGCTGAAATGTAGATTTACCTTTGCTGAAATTTCTAGACAGCACTTGTGACATTTCGTCTGTTTTGGATGGTAGCTTAGGAAGTGAATTTAGGGTTTTGTAATGGAAAGAGTGACTACTGTGCGGTGTGATAAATAATGCATGAAAGCAGAAACTTTTTTTCAAAGGAAAAATGAATATATGTTCGTATATATACAAGCCACTTAGAGAGTATCCCACTCTACAAGATCACACATGGTTTGAATGGTAGGAAATTGTTTTGAATACCGTTCGTGCTTTGGTTTCGGGGTTTAGGCTGTATGATTTAGGGCTTAAACGGGATTCAATGCAACGGCCTGTATTCTTAATAATCTATCAAATTACAGGCATTGTATTGAATCCAACAACTGTCTCACAGGTGCTGACAAAATTTTCTCAATAGAAGAATAGGATAATACCTGTAATACATAATTATACAATTGCTCTGGTGATGCCTTTTTCGTACTCATTATAACTACAGAGCCATAATATCTGTGAGGCTGTATACAAAGACAATATTTTTTACTTTTCCTACCCATACAAGATTTGGTTATTGTTACATCATCATTATGACCATGGTATGTAATCTGCAGTGATAAAGCATATCGCCGGATCCATAGCATTACATAATAGCATAAAAGTTTGCCATTCTTCTACTGATTAGAAATTAAGAACTAAGTTAATAACTTTGAAGCCGTACAAATACCAATTCGTTTTTATCTTATCCTAATCTTTTCCAAGCCCTTTCTGCCTTCTCCACAAGAAGTCAAGTGTGTAGTGAGTCAAACTAACAAGCAGTAGCTTTATGTATAGAAACTAGTTTCTGAGCAAAGTGATTTATTAAAACTAAGATGACTGGAAATGCTGCAAAAATGGAGCAATTTGTGTTTTGATGAAATATTCATTAAGTCATTCTTTACTGCTTTTGTTTTCTTTTCTGTTCACCATACATATGGTTGTGTGCATGCGCATTATAGTGCTTCAGCTCACTTTCCATTTCTCCTCCCATGTTCAAAGTAGTTGCACTTATAAACTGAACTAATTTTCTTCAGCTTCCATTGGATGTGCATATGATTCCACACCTCAACCTTAATCCATACTACCCTATTCTTTTCCATGGTCTATCGTCATTAAATTTATGAAGGTATACTAAGTATGTTCATGTTTTTCAGGTCAGAGCAAGCCCTTGCCAATGTGAATTTTCCCAATATTGTGACTCTCGGAGATAAAATAGGTATGCTCCTTAAAGGTTGAAGATGTTTGGTTTGAGCTCTGCTGCTTTCAGGCACTGTAATATTTTATTGGAGATGGTAGCCGTGGAGTAAAATGAGCATTAGGTAGATGTGGTTCTTTTGCTCTTGGAACAGAGCAGCCTGCTCTTAAGTAAGAGTTGGTTTCATATGCATTCATGGAATCTTTTTCGTGGATGAAAAGTCATCTATAGTGATCAAAGATTGCCTGTTTGAATTTATAAGATTAAACCCAGGGTCTGTAAAATGGCAATCCATGTAGCAAAGTTCGTTGCTGGTCTTACAATGAGTGAAAAAGCATGAAAAATGGAAGTGAAACATAGATTTCATATTTTAATTAGAGAAAGAGGATCATCTTTGTCTTGATACTGTGCTTATGGCCTCACTTTAGAGTTTAGGTAATATAAAATATAAACAGCATATAGTTAGTTATGATTCTAATGATAATATCAACATATAAAATATAAACAGAATATTTGAATTTATAGAGGTTGGTAATATAATTTCTTTTATAGTAGATTTCAGAATGGTGAAGAATTGCTGTTGGATTGGTATTATTTTCTCAACAGTGTTTTTGTTTTTGTTTTGGTAACGACTGTTGCTCGTAGTAATTTTTAAATTTGTTGAAAACGTTGATTGTAAGTTTCTACTCATGGAAAACTTTAAGAGACAAAAATCAGCTTTGAACCCTAGTAAAACAATAAGGTGGATTAATCACTGTGGTGTTACTTGAGGAAGCCTTCAATGTGGCAGAGAGTATTCACATTCACTACATCACGTGAGTAGCATGTGATGGGTACATGTGAGGAGAGGAAGAGACCTATACGGTTGTCCCACCCTAGAATTTTGGCTCTCAGATTTTGGATTTTGGATCTACATGATTCCCTGCAACGTTTTTCTACCATAGAAGAATATGAATCTTGGTATCTTTTTTATTTTTGGCTCTCAGTTATAATCGTTGTGTTATTTTTTGAGCGTTCTTCTCCTCCTTAGATGGTTCCAAAGACTCCTAAAATACAATCGTAAGGGAAAAAAAGGGTTAAAGTTATTATGGTTGGAAGGAAAAGTAATAGGGAAGAAACTTCTGTTTCTACTACACATGCTTTTCATTTTACCCCTTTCAACAAACTTTGTAATTACAAATTTGTCATTTATCTCTGCTATTATATATGGTAAGAACTTTAGGGTTTGGTGAGAGTTCTGAAAATTCGAAAAGGTTTTTTGATACAAGCGATATTGCGGGATTGGGGGGGTTGAAGCTAGGACCTCAGGTGAAGGGGTAAATGTTTTTAATCAATTGAGCTACAACCCCTTGGGAAAAGGTTTTCATTTAAAGAAATTGTCACAAGAAGGATTTCATTTAATGAATATATTGAGGAAAATTGCTCTTGTTCCCTTAAAAAGAAGGCCGAAGCCTAGAGGGCAATCAGGTGAATTACTACTTGAAGCTAGAGATTTATGTTTTCTTTATTCGCCAGAAGGACAAGATAAATGTCTGATGGATAACAAGAAAGTATAGACGGGTTCTGTATATGCATCTAATTCTTGGTGTTATTAGATGGTACATCTTAGTTTTATGTTTAGCACAGCTCCACACAGGGGAAAGGGAAAGAATGGTACGTAGCAATGCAAGTTTGGTATATTGCTTTATCAGAATAAAGTAGCGAGCAAGATACCTAAATGGAACAGCAGCACAGTACAAGATATATGATATATTTATACAACAAACAACAAATGCTTTCAAATTAGGAAAGGAAGATACCAAAACCTTCCCTGCCAATAAGAACTAGGAACAACCTCAAACTTAATTCCATGTCTTGCCGAGCCCCCCCTCAACCCTAAATCACCACCACATCTTCCTCCAACATAAAAACTCGCCAAAAAACCCCGAAACACTCTTGCCCTATGTTGTCACTATCTGGGCACCAACCATCAGTAGCCCTCAATGACAAGAAAGTTTTTCCATGGTGCCACCCAAAGAGCCACACACCCTCTGGTTTGGTTTGCGGCTGTTATCTGCACTGTTATTGCCATAGCCGTGATCATCACGGGGATCGTTGTGTTCGCGGGCTACATGATCATCCATCCGAGGGTGCCTTTCATCACCGTCACCTCAGCTCACCTGGACAACTTTCAAAACTCAGTGGCTGGTCTTCTTGACACAGAAATCACCATTGTTGTGAGGGCTGAGAATGACAACACGAAAGCACATGCCAGCTTTTCGGATACAAGCTTCACACTGAGCTTCCAAGGCCTGAAAATTGCCAGGTTGGTGGCATTGCCATTTGATGTGAAGAAAAATAGTTCGGTGGATTTTCATTATTTGGTGCAATCTTCATCGATTCCATTGAGCCCTGAGCAGATGGATCAAATAGATATTTCATTGAAGCGAGATAAAATTAGTTTCGATTTGAAGGGGAATTTGAGAGCAAGGTGGAGAATAGGGCCGCTTGGCTCTGTAAAATTCTGGGATCATTTGAATTGTCACCTCAGGTTTCATCCTTCAAATGGAAGCTACATACACTCACCTTGTAGCTCCAGGGCAAAATAGTAAAATTGCTAAGTACTTTCCCTTCTTCCCTTCTTATCCTTTTAGCTTTTATGTAGACAACTTGAGTTCCTCTTTCAAAATAAATAGGCTTCATTTCAATTTTCATGTTTGAGATTATTCGAAGACAAATAATTATAATCTCATCTTTATACTCTCTCTCTCTCTCTCTCTCTCTCATCTTTAGACAAGTCTATTTTACAATCAGTCTCTTTCTTTTTTGTGTTTTGTAATTTCAATTTTCACATCCATTGTTAATTTAATTTCAAGCACCAAAATTTGCAGGCTTTCTTTCGGCACAAAAATAAATAAATAATAATATTGTAAAATTCAACTATATGACAAATGGGTATGTCAGAGTACAAACAACTTTCACATGAAGCTCGCCTGAAGATTTAAAAAAAAAGAAAAAAAAAACTTTTACATGAAGCTTTCCCATGAGAAGAGAGAACCGTGCAAATTAAGCAAAAAAAGAAGGCACCTTTTTCTTTATTGTGCTTTTATTATTGCCTTTTCGTTTAGATATCTTTTGGAGTTGCTTCGAGCTGGTCCTCACTCCTTTTAAATAGGAGGGGACGAGGGAGAGAGGGAGGCCAATGCGTGCCTAAACATTTTGACTACGACCCAAAACAAATTCATATACATTGATTCTTTTTGCTTTTTGGGTCGAAGATTTACGTTGATTGGATGTCAATTGAACCAAGACGTGTGCTTTAGTTTAGACCCACCCTTTTAACACATGGGTCACTGAAACATAGTCCAAATGATAGAGGCCTAAAGAACCAAAAAGCTCTTGACGCAAACATGAAGACAAACCGGTTCACTTTTTTAAATGAACTTAAAAATTATAGTTTTTTAACATGAAGGTCTCAGTTTGTTGGGGAATATTAGACTAAACTAGTAAATTGGCTACATTTCATGTGCAATCAAAGGTTAATATAGATATTATTATCGAACCGTCTTAATTACTTTAAATTTCTTTTCGGGTCAAACCTAATAATCAATGACATAAAAAAAAAATGGCCTTGTTGGGGGCCCCAAATCCTAGTTCCCTTCCCCAGCCATCACGGTTTAGCCTGGTGTTTGGTCATCTTGCAGTGGAGGCAGATCTATTGGAGCTTATATGATTGGTGCAACGTTATGATTTTTGGGATTCTTTTTTCTTTTTTTTTGGGTTGGTTGGGCCTAAGTTTTTTTTGGCTTCTCTTTTGTAGCAAATACTGCCGAGGAAAAAAAGAAGAAGCAAATACTCTCAATACAGACAACACATTAGACAATACGTCTTTATTTCTATTTGATTGTGTTCCATTGTTGTAACTTGTAATTTTGTTTAGTAACATAAGTTGTTGCACAGTCGTCTAGGTTATAAGTCACTATCAAAATGGACTTGTTCTTGTCTTCTTTGACATTTTCTACTCATGCTATTTCGTGCCAAATAGTAACAGGTCCTACCTAAAGCACACATGAGGATACACAAAGCTTTACGTAGTAGCAGGTCCTAAAGCACGCATATAAGGATACACAAAGCTTTACGACTTCCTCTTTTGAGAATGTGAATTCCATGTTGGGGAATTAAAGCATGGTCTAATATTTTAAAAGATCTAAGACATCTCTGGTTATTGTTAATTGATTTTGAGTTAGATGCTCACATTCTAATATGGTATGAGAGAAGGCTATACACGTGTTGAGCCCAACGATCAACGCATAAAATACCACATCGAGGAATTAAAGCCAATTAGTTTTGGGTGAGATACTCACACTATAATATACCAAAGTGTGTTAGAGTAAATAGACCTTAACTGGTGGAAACATGGCAAGATCTAAGTTGACATGAATTTTTTCACTCTCTGCCTTTGATGTCATTCTACTTTATTATTTAATACAAGAAACAGTTCACGTTATTAGAAGGAAGGGAACTTGATTTTTTCAGAGCACTTCCCGTGTGATGAGAGGCCGAGGCAGTCAACGATTTTAGTTCCAGCAGTGTCTCCACACATAATGATGATCTGGTAAAGTTGCTTGTTACCTGCTTTGTCTTCGTTCCACGCTATTCCTGGCATGTATGTAACTTTTGATTGTATGGCACTATAAACTGCACTTGCACTGTAAAATGATCCATTTGGATGAATTCCTGCATTCATTTTCCCACAAATTTACTTTTGTCAATTAACAAATTGGAGCATGGTACGTAGCAGCACCTAGCCGTTGGTTAAGTGATATTTTTTATTTTTCATGTTAAAATGTTGGGAGAGTCGTCAAGTTCGAATATGTTCCGACATTCACGTTATTAATTTAGAATGACCTGCATCGCTGAGTAGCTTCAGGATGTAAAAGGTTGAGGGCTGCATGAAAGTATTGATATTGGCCTCCGGAGAGTTCTTCTGAACCAGTCCCATATTTCTGCCATTCATGCTTCCATAATTTCTCACTCCTACTTGGGCAGGAAAGTGATGGCCAATTTTTTCCCAAGCTCTTTGTCAGGTTTGACATCTATTCAATTACAAATTAAAACCCAAAAAATATATTAATAGAAAAAAGCAACAATTAAACCAGGGATTATGCTTGCCGAAACTACATATTCCTTCAAATCACGATTTGACACGTAGAAAAATAATTTATAAAAAAGAAAAAAAACTAAAAACTTCTACTGATCTACACACATGTCAAACTGTTATTGACAAGAATGTATAAGTTCATACTTACACACAATATAATCAAATATTTTCCTTAAAACAGAATGGCCTGTGGTTTGTTCTCTCAGAAATCGAAGTCCATGAAGATTAGCAAGAACTTATCATCACTTTGTGTCTTAATTAAATGCTAAATGAATCAAAATGACTTGAATGAGGAAGAGAGTACCTTAGACAAACTGAAATGGCTCTTAGATTTGCAGTTGGTTGGCCTATTTCCGCTAAAGGTATAGGACCATATGCCACCAATTTTGAAACCTTTGGTTGGTTTTCCAGTCTTTGGGTAGCAACAACCATGCTTTGCTCCATCATAAGACCCTGGTCACTAATTGCAATACCAAAACAAAAAAACCAGATTTGATTTATAGTAATTAATTTTGTTGCAAGCAATTAGTGCAGTATTGATGCTTACAGCTGCAGAGATACCTGATAAGCAATGTAGAAGGAAACTGGATTTTCTTAAGCTATGGATAAAGTAGTCGTTGATAGGCCCCCTCTTATACATCTTACCCGAGCATCCCCACCGTCCATATCCTGCCTACCCCAGCTACAATGGTTACACGTGGAGCCACACCAACACCCATCAGTCGAAGCCATGGGACACGAACCGATGCGACTCCTCGCAGGCCCCGACGTCAGCAGCAGTTAATATGCCGCCTGCTCAACCAACCGCTCACTGCCACATCACCACCACTCAAGCACCCCAAATTCAAAACCTGGAGCCACAAATCAAAGGAACCTTCCTCGGCTGTGGACTTGGGGGCTACCCACCCGATCTGGTAAAGGCTTGGCTCACTAAGATCAAAACAAACTCCCCACCCAAGATCGGCTCCTTAAGTTGAGAGTTAGGGGCCTACTGTTGATGGATCATACCACCACCAAAAGCCGAGCCTACTACAGACCGCCACGTGGTCATTTCCTGGCTGGTTACCCCTATACCGACTTGAGCAGGTATGGTGCTCCGGGCGTCGATAAAAGGCCTCCTAGCCAAAAGTTGACGGCACCAAGTACAAATCCGTGCTAGGGGACTCGAACACAAACCCGACCACGATGGTGCCGTGTATGGCCAGAGGTGCATTGATGACGTGCAGGCTTGATCGGACCCTTGTCAGGTCAGTCACTCCATCTACTTGATGGGACAGTTTGGCAAAGGAAGGGGATCAGTTAATGCACTTTCCATCCAGAGGCAGGTGTCGCCTCACCCTTCAATCCTCAACAAACAACTTGATGATGGAAAAGGATCATTAAGTACGCCTCCCATCCAAAGCCATCGCTTCACCACTTGATCCCTCTCGGATAGCATGGTGATCTAGATAGGCCATTGAATGTGAATTCAGTCCCACTAGGGGGTGGGGGAGGGGGGGAGTAAATATCTTCTCCTTAAAAGATATCCTCGTCTCCCCTTCTTCCCCTATAAATACCCGTCACCTATCTCTGGACAAAGGTAATAAATATTTCGAGCCGATAAACCCTACATCCATTACTCCACCACCAAATAGCTTCTGACTTAGCCATCGGAGGGGGCTCAACTGAGATCAACCCCAGTTCGCTCTTGTTATGATAAACTGTTCCAATTGTGCAGGTCTCTTCCAAAAGGCAACTCCCCCCATGGGGTCATGTACAATACTAGGCCCTTATCCTGGTTCAAGTCACAATACATACGAGGAGGATACACGGTTTACAAACATCAACCAAATAGGGTGGAGTAAGAAATGAGGGAGATGGAGCATCTTCTCCTCCAACTACAATAAAGACAATCGATCCCAATGCCAAAACTAAAAGGATCTATCAATCGTCTCCTCCATCCCTTTCCTTTTACATTTTTTTTTTTTTTTTTTTTTTTTTTTTTTTTTTTTTTTTTTTTTTTTTAGTGCATCTCCAAGGGAGATGTCAAATACCAAACATCAAATTTAAATTTGATGGCAGATGTGGCAATTTGACATCTTACACAGCTTTACACTCCACTCGATATGTCAAATTAAATTATTATTTTATTACATTTTAGTGTTGATTTATTTTTAATTAAAAAGAAAAAAAATATTCATTTGACATCTTGCTTTTGGGATGTCAAAAATAACATCTCAACCTCCAGCCTTCATTCCACATCAACTTTGACACAACGGTTTAAGTGATGTGATATTTCTAGATGTTAAATGTTTATGTGACACTTTTGACACATCGGTTGGAGATGCTCGAAAGTATATATATATATATATACTCGATCCCGTTCGTAAAAATTTCTATTTTTAGTTTAAATTTTTTTATAGGTTTATCATAATCTTTTTTAGATTTATTACGTAAATAGTGGTAGTGGACAAACAAAAATAAATATAGGTAAGTTTATTGAGCAAATAGAACTTCTTCAATTTCAAAAAAAAATTTAAATTTTATTAGATTAAATAGAGTAAGGTTCTATGCTATTAGTATAGAAAGGGTTTGCATGATATCTGATCGATAGAAATATATAGTATATATAATTGTGAGTCATCCAAAAAGAGTAAATAGAGTAATTCCTTCTTCGTTTTAAGTATTGATGGATACTATTGAGTAACATATGTTCTAAATCCCTTAACGAAGTTAATTTTTCAAAAACATTATCAGAAAAAGTGGAGGTTTTTGAAACATCTATAAAAAAAATATTATGATTATTAAGAACTCAACGGGGCCTACCCCCTCTTTCCTTGTTGATTCGAGAGGGGATCCCATTGAGTTCTTATGCTTTCATGTCTACAACTCATGTTCATCTGATTATTACAGGGATATATATATATATATATATATATATAAGGATTCTAAGGTATGTGCCCTTTCATGTACATTAATCGTCAAAATAATTTATATTTATTTATTTTATTTTGCTTTCAACTAATATAAACTTATAAAATTTAATCTAAAAATATGTGTTGGCAAGTTGTAATGCCACTGCAGAGTACCCAAACAGAGTAAAGTCGATGGTTGAGATACTAATTTGTCTACTTAGATATCAATTATTGATAAAGGGTGAGAGTTTGGTATTTGCTTTTTATTTAGCTTGATTTATCAAATTGTTTGCCACAACTCCATAACATTTCAGGTTTTGTCTTATAATTTCTACTAGCCTTCTTGCACGAGCTTCCGCACATGTGAGAGGTTTTTTTTTTAATCATGAGTGAAGCACGTTACTTACAAAGTTTCGTAATTATCTTTTTTATTTTTTTAAATATAATTTAAATAAATTTTTAAAAAAAAAAAAAAAAAAAAAAAAACATTAGTCAAAAATCTATTATGTATATATCGTGTCTCTTGACATCACAAGAGTTCATTTTGCTTTACATCATGTATGTTCTTAAAGGGAAAAAATAAAAAATGAAAAGAGAGAATCGGGTCCCATTGTGTTATTGATATTTTTTGTGTGAATGTAAATAAATTGAAAAGCATTCGAATGGAGTGGAAAGCTACAAGCCGAAGAAAACCTAACAACAAAAAAACAAAAAGACAAAGGCCCAAACATGAAAACACACAACAGGCAAACTGAAGGCCCAATGGGAATGAACCAGCCACGCCACCCAGAGAACACCTGCCACAACACCATTGTATGGGAGTTTTGGCAAGTGCACTATAACGTTATCCTGATTGTTCAAAGGAAGCACATACTAGGATCAATCAGAAAAAGGTTACTCAAGAGCCATGCCCTGCCCTTCCATGCCAACCCTAGTAGATTATCTCATTGGCGTAGGTTTAATCAAACTGAACATATTGGATTCAGATCACCACCACCAGCAACTAGTGTTCTGTAACAGAAACGGAAAGTAATATATTGTAGGTTACACAGAGCTGCAAGAAGGTGATGACTGGTCCACTGTTACGTTCTTTTTGTTTCTGATATTACTGTGGTCCACAACACTCGATTGATTAGTGCGAATAAATGCATCCCGGCTCCGTCCTGCTCCATCATCCGCCAGGGCCAAAAGGATCGTCTTCCACTGCTGATTCTTCAACTAAAGCACTCATTTGATCACGGGGAACAGATGCGTCATGGCTACGTCCTGTATCAGTTCCCCCAAAAAAATCCAGATATGGTTCCACTGCTAATCATTCATGTATAGCACTAGTTTGATTCGGAAGAAATGCGTCGTCAACTCCCCCTGAAAAATCCCGATTTGTTTCCAAATCATACAAATGAGGATCCGGATTATCCATATTTTCCTTCATGACTTTGTCCCATTCTAGATGAACCTGTCTTCTTCACTCTCACAAAATCAACATCATCAGGCCTTACAAGAATGGAGACTTGGTCACCGCCTTGCAAACGTAGCACATCGTTTGACAATTGTCCCTGCCAAAGAAAAACAGTCTGATTCCTCACATCTGTAGCCTCCATATCGTAGAATATCCGCACAGTCGGTTACAACCACAGCCCAGAAAACGGGATGGTCTACTTAAAGCGCACTAACTGTTAACCATTGATATGATTGTAAACAATTAGTGAGTTAGGTGTGCAAGGCACGTACATGAGTTGTTAATAGTGTATGTGAATTAGTTAGAGAGCCGTATAAAGTGTAATAGTGCTGTAGCTTAAAAGATTAAGAAATACAGAAATCAAGATTGCAGTTTCTCTCCATTTCTCTCTCTTTCCTTTTTCTTCAGGTCTCTTCCTCATACTTCTCTGAATATGTTGGTATCAGCAACCTCAGTGGTTTAAACATAATCAAACGATCATATCCTCCTCCTCCTTGATTTTCTTCCCTTGTTCTCTCTGTTTCTTGAAATGGACTCATCAACTCCCCCTGAAAAATCCTGATTTGTTTCAAAATCATACAAATGAGGATCCGCATTGTCCGTATTTTCGTTCATGAATTTGTCCCATTCTAGATGAACCCCTGTCTTCTTCAGTCTCACAAACTCAACATCATCAGGCCTTACAAGAATGGAGACTTGGTCCCCGCCTTGCAAACAGAGCACATCGTTTGACAACTGTCCCTGCCAAAGATAACCGTCTTTAGATTCACTCCAAATTTTTACCGAGCCAGATGCTATCTTGGTGTTCAAAGCAGTTTGTTTGGTAAGATTTCTAACGATAATGCAAATGTTATCAAGTACTGGGCTGTCTGAAGAATAAACGAAGCATATAGTCAACCCCTTTAAATCACGGCCCATGATTCTTTGAGGAACTTCAAAGACGATATTGTCCACATCATCGTCGAACTCGAACCACTCAGGAATATCATAAATTCCATTCAAATAAATTCCACCATATCCGGAAGAAGTCCATCCCTATATCACGTAGAGCAAGATTTGTGTAAGCATTACATTCTTATTCAAGTGCACGCAAGTGCACATGCGTATATCACGTGCGTCTGTGTGTGATAGAGAGAGAAAGAGATTGACCTGTAGGATGTTCTTCCTAAACTCAGAAGTGAGATTGGTGCAGCCTTCCATATGAATCCTTGTCATGGAGTTTAATGACTTACCCAAGCCTGGAACCTCAGTGAGTTTGACCGAATCACAGAGATACAATTCTCTCATATTCGACATTTTTGAAAAATCTGGAATTGTTTCCAATTCTGGGCAGTCAATCGCTTTCAGAACATACAAATTGGTTGGTAAATCTGGGATTGCAAGAAGTTTTTTGCATGCATTTAAACACAAGACCTCGAGCTTTGAAAGACCAGCGAGACTTGGTAGGCTACGAAATTCATTGTCTCCAAGAAGCAGATGTTCTAGGCTACATAGATCCTTAGGGATTGCATCCTTAATTAACGACCAGCAGCCTGCAAGACATAACTTTATTAAAGAGTTTAAGCCATGTAACGAAAGGAGTAAAAGATAGAATTTCAAAATTCTCACCGGATAGAGATAAAACTCTGAACTTCTTCAATTTTACCATGGAAGATGGAATTTGTCTGATGGCTGTCCTATCTGCTTTCAAATTTGTCAATGATACCATGTCCCCTAAGTTTTCACCCAACTTTTCAAAACTTGAACAACCATTAAGTAGAAGAATTTCAATAGACTTGGATTTATAGAAATTCAGTGGGAGAATCTTTAGCATGTCGCAGCCTTCAAGATTTACCAAAGAAAGTCTTCCAAGATCCCCGATGGATGAGTGAACCTCAGACAAACTCCAACAGAACTGCAATATCAATTCCTCGAGATTTGGGAGTGCTAAAAAGTCTGGTGATTTTGTTAGCCTACGGGAATGGCTGAGATTAAGGATTTTCAAATTCTGATGCAACTGTTACACAAGAACAAAATTAAACCAAAATGAAGAGAAGGTGAAGTATAATATATGTATAGAACCAGAAGGAAAGAACCGACAACAACTAGGTTGAGATTATTATACCTTGCGATCCTTCCAAACTATTTTGAGTTTGCTATATTGCAGGTCTAAAGCAACTAGTTTTGGTTGCATAGGAAAGTCATCTGGTATGGATTCTAAAGGAAAATAATGCCAGCACAACCACATTAACTTTCTGGGAAAATCTTTGTACTCTCCAGTGAGCTCTACTCTGCTGAGGTGGAGTAACCTCAGTTTTTTCATGTTGGTAAATGCTTGTGCACTGAATCTAGTCAAATCTGGATCTGAATCTAGATCCAAATCTTGATCCAAATCTAAAGCAACTCCTTCAATTTTTTCAGTTCCCTGTTAACAAAAGACACTGAGTTAGAAAAATGATTTACAAACATGAAAATCCGTGTATGTATTAACCAAATGGTAAAATTAATAGTATTGGACCACGCCTTATAGTTTGTGTTTGCAACCAAAGCACATATTTTTTGTTGGTTATGCCTAATTGAGCTTTGATCTTAATGGATATAATATAAGAAATGATAACGGGGTCTAGCGAAGTGAAAAATAGTCTAAACTTGCAGACTAAGGTCTCATGTTCAAATTCATATGGCACCTTGGTAGTGTGGATGTGTGTGAGAAACTCCTCTCCCACTTTTCTTTGGCTTAGACTATCGCTTATACTAAACAAACAAAAAAGAAGGAAAATGACATTTTAATTTATTATAGACATGGGAGACATATGCTTCTCTTGCATGATGCATTCTAAAACTTTATTGGGAAAGTACTTACAGATTGATCGCTCAATACATCTGTTACGTCTTCACGTTTCCACAATCTACTAAAATATTTGGGGGTACCGCAGGCATTTTCATGAACTATCTCTCTTCCCATGTCTCGAAGCAAATTATTCATCATCAGCTTGTTTTGCTTAGTAACAGTTACAAGGCACCGATCAATGAGGATATGGATTCCTATCACTGCAGCAGTGCGACATCCATCTAATATTTGTGTTACATAGTCCTTGTCCATTCCTATAAAGAAACAAGATATATCGAGGAATATCTTTCTCTCTATATCATCATGTAGCCCGTCAAAACTTATTCTGAGTATTTTTTGAATATCTCCATCAGGACTTCTTTCCAATTTCTCCAAATGGCTTTCCCACTCCTCTATGGGTCTTTCAATCAGAGAAGAACCTACAACTTCAAGTGCTAGTGGCAAGCCTCGACAGGAACGAATTGCACGTTTTGAGAGGTCAAGATATTCTTGATTAGGATAACCACTTTTGAAGGCATGCCAACTAAAGAGCACTAGAGCTTCTTTTTCATTCATTGCTTGAGCCATATATGTGCTATCCACTCCAAATTGGTCTAGCAAATGTTGATTTCTTGTTGTTATAACAATTCTACTTCCAGGACCAAACCAATCACGAGCTCCAGCTATTGCTTCTAGTTGCCGTAGATCATCTGCATCGTCAATTATGATAAGTGCTCTTTTACAGCCAAGTCTTGCTCTTATCATCTCGATCCCTCTTCCAACAGAGCCAACCTCTACGTCCTCCCTTTTCAAGATATCATTTAGAAGTTGTTCTTGCAAACCAACCACACCATTACTGCCTTGGTATGCAAATACTTCCCTCACGCCTGCAAGGAAACTCCTACCTTCAAAGATAAGTTCAAATTTGTTATAAATGGTTTTGGCAAGCGTTGTTTTTCCAATGCCACCCATCCCCAAAATGCCAATCATGCGAACATCTCTAGAACCTGATTTTTCAAATTTGTTAGATAATTCAATATCTAACTGATCACTCAAATCCCGCACCCGAGAAGTAATTCCAACTGAGTAAGCCGAATAATCGTTGTAGATTTCAGTATCAGTTAAATTGCAACTTGCAAGAACTGATTCTCTTAATGGTTCGCCTTGGCTTGGTCCTGTCTCATCTGGAGTTCTCGACAACCAATCAGGATTTGGGTCAAAATTATATAGATGAGGATCCGAATCATGCATATTTTCCTTCATAACTTTGTCCCATTCTAGATTGACCGCTGCATCCTTCACTCTCACAAAATCAACTGTAGCAAATACAGAAAGCAAGACTTTATCCCCAACTTGCAAACTGAGCCTATCGTTCGATAGTTGTCCCTGCCAAAGATAATCATCTTCAGGTTTACTGTCTGTTTTTACCGAGGCAATTGCTGGCCAGGTGAGCAAAGTAGTTCCCTGCGTTACATTTCTAACCATAATGCCAAGACCATCTTTTGGTTTTGGGTTGTCTGAAGAGTAAATGCAACACAACGTTAACCCTTTTAAATCATAACCGAAATTTTGGGGCACTTCAAAATCCACTTCATTGTCCTCATTACCGACCAACTTGAACCACTTAGGAATACGATAAATCCCTTCAAGATAAATGCCTCCAAATCCGCAAGAAGTCCATCCCTATACCATGTAGAGCTAAATTTGTGTAAGTATATTTGTATTGGTTCATGTGTATACATTGTTGAAATGTAAATTATATCCTGGTTGATTCCTTAGCTAGACATGTGCAGGGCTTAGATTCAATCATAGAGTATAGGTCTTATATGTCTAGATTTGTGCCAAATGTCTAGCTCATATTTCTGACACAATTGTATGGCTGAGATAACATTCTCTGCCTTGTAAAAGGAATGTTTTTGTTAGAATGAAATCAGAGTGGGAGTGTGTGCATTCCGATGATGAGTGCTCAGTAAGAAACTCTCTCTCTCACAACGTCTCTCTCATTCTCTGCAACTTTTTCCATATTCTTCTTTCCCAAGCAAAACTCTGCTATTGAAATCTCAACATACATGCGGTGGACGTGGATGTGCATCTGTGTGTGTGTGTGTGTGTGTGTGTGTGTGTGTGAGAGAGAGAGAGAGAGAGAGAGAGAGAGAGAGAGGGAGAGCGAGAGAGAGAAGGGTTGACCTGTAGGATTTTCTTTCTGAAACGGGCGGTGAGATTGGTGCAGCCTTCCATATGAATCCTTGTCACGGAGTTTAATGACTTATCCAGGCCAGGAATCTCAGTGAGTTTGTTCGAATCAGATAAATACAGTTCTCTTATACTTGACA